GAGCTGCGCCTGAGGTCCAGAGCGCATCAGACGGCGTTTTGGCCAGGCATGCATGTGCGATGCCCTGACAAGGCCCTCGTTTCAGTAGGCCAGCTGCAAACAGGTTTATGTGAGGTCTTTAAACCGCTCGCCGTCGACCTCCCGCCTATCAAAGCATCCCCCGCCTTAGCCCTTGCGCTCCGCAGGCTGCAGGTCGCCAGAGTGGATGCTTGGTTGACAGGTTGCTCCGATGTGTTGGGACCTCCGCAGTGGGCTCAGCAGAGGGCCGTAGGCCAGTCCAGTGCAGCCTTAGGACTTCAAAAAGGGGCTCGACTTCACAAGCATGCGCTGCCAAGCCTTCTGCCTGACGGCCTCTCCAAGGAGGACCACATGCGTTTTGCAGGATGCCTGCCTTCTCCCTTTGAAACGGCTCTTGTCTTGGATGCTGATGCCTCCTTCGCCATCAAGGCCATGCTTATCCTTGGGCCCTGCATCCGCACATGGAGGCGCCAACAGTTGAGAGCCCTACAGTGCCTTACCAAAGCCTTGTCTCCCCTCAGCTTGACAGTCAAGAAATGCATGTCGCCTGAAGTCTTCGCAGTGGCTGCGACTCGGGAACCTGTTCTGATGTCGGCCTTAGCAATCCTTTTGGACTGGCCTGATGTGCAGATTGGTCTCCGGTTTGTTCAGGGGTTTGGGCTTTTAGGGGAGATTGAGGCGCCAGGCCTCTTTAGGGGTTTAGATCCTTTGCCCACCTCTTGCCCCCACATCATCATCTCCAGCGGGCCGCAACCATACGCGGGTTGTGCAGCCAAAAGATAAGGAAATCACACCTCAGCCGGGACAAGGCTGAGCGAAGAATGTCCGTGCCTGGCACCATGCTAAATGGGCACCGCATCGAGGCCGTGTGCATCGAATGCGCCCATCATGGGCCTGAGGCTCTGCAATCAAATGCAAGTGGTTTGCATCTGCAGTTTCATTATGTTGGCGCACTCGTCGCTTGCGCCAATTTAACGTACCTTGAGCAACAGCAACCTCTTGATGAGCTTCGCCACTAGCACCTCCACAGTGGCGCTGCTGCCACTTGCGCTTCCAGCCGTTGAAGTCAGTACGCTGGTGACACTTAACGCATACAAGCTCAGCATCACCATTGCCTTCAGCACCGTAGAAAGGGGCAAGGCGATGCCATCCCTTGCCGTCTGCATCACGGTTGTGCAACAGCCGCTTCTGTTCTCGTGACACTTGCAGCTTTCGCAAACCCGGGACATAGTATGGTTGGGAAGCATCCCAAGGAATCTGTTCCCTCACCTCCTGGACATTGGAAGGCTGACGCAACACCTCAGGGCGATTGCTCTGAACATCAGCCGCCCGCGTTTTGACTTTGAGTCTGTAGCGAGGTCGGGCAAGCTCAAGAGCGACATGTGGGCTCCAAAGTGCATCCCCTAACTGCCCAAACTTTGGTATGAAAGCTAGTTTACAGTTGGTCTGCAAATTTTCCAAAGCAGCCTGGTACAAGATCCGATTGACGACGTCCGGTCGCAAAAACAAGGGACGCATCGGAAAACCCCCCGCATTAGGCAAGCCAAGCGGAGCCAAGCTACGTGCAAGGTTGTTAGGAAACGGATCGACCGGAGCAAGCGCATCTTGACAGATGACCGACACACGCCGAGCAGCGGAAGCAAAGAAGATCGCTCTCTTCCCAGCCAACTCTTTGGCGCCATCAGCATCAGCCGCGCACAGTTCAATGTGTGTACTGGCTTGGAAATCCAGGGCCAACTCAAGCCAGGTGACATGCTCACCACGGCGAGCGTTCAAGTCTCCAGTTTGTGGCCATTTTAACTGCCGAAAATACCATATCAGGGGTGCAAACAGGCGTTCAGGATATCTCCATCGCAGGTCTCTGGCGCCAGCTTTTTGTTGGCCGCGTTCCTGGTCATCAGGTATTTTGCCCCAGAAGCAGGTGTGATGCACACCTTCCGACGCACGCCACGCAAAGCCCGGGAATGCCGCCTGCTGGGCGGCCATGGCAGGGTCAGCATCATCAGGGGGGTTTTCCTGTTGTGCGGGGGGTTTAGGGGGCTTAACAACCTTACCTAAACCCTGGGTCTTAATGGCGGCATCCCGCGCAAGGTGCAAGCGAACCAAGGTGTGCTGCAAACAGCGGATGCGCTGAGCCTCATGTTGGTGATGTTTCACAAGGTCCGGCGGGAGCTGATTACCTATCGCACCTGCAACCGCCAACTTGTCTGCAGCATCGTTGTAGCGCTTGTGCAGCAAGAGTTGTGCATCTCCTTGACACTGAGCTACCGTACTGTGACCTGTGACCTTAGTGACTTTGAGGCGGTATTGAGGACTGTGACGCTCCCAATCTTTCTGGATTCGCTGCCAGAGGTCAAGATGGCATGACATCCTATGCTCACCAAACGCAGCAAGGTTGCTGAAGCCAAGGAGCACGGTCTTATTATCTGTTAGAAGTTCCTGGTTCCCCCACACCCAGTGAATCCATCGAGCAGCTGCCCGGATTTCGGCCCGAGTGGAGGTTTGACAAGCAGTGGCAGGAGCAAAACTGCAGTTAAGTGGATGATTATCACCGTAAAACAACCCACAACCTGCACGGCGCAGTCGAGATTCCTGCTGCTGATTGGGACAGGCACCGTCAGACGCCACAAGGGTGAATCCATCACGGACAAGGGTGCCCTGGGCACACTGTGTGTTGCCCACCTCTTGCCCAGGCCTAAATAGCCTCTTTGGAACCCACGCAGAGACTGTGATTTCATCCTTGGAGGCTTCCCTGCCACACAGCAAATTCCATGCAGAGATCAAGGCGTTCACGCTTCAGGAGGTGTCAGATGGGTTAGCAGAAGGCCCCTTCACGGCCGACGACCTGCATGAAAGATTCGGCCTCTTTCGATGGTGTCCCATCAAGCGTTTCATGCTTAGGCAGGGCACCAAATTGAGACCCATCGACGATGGTCGCAGCGCAGGCCATAACTCCGCCTCTGCGGCCACAGAAACAATATACACGACGACTCCGGACTGCGTCGTTGCAGCAGCGCGCAGCTTGTTGCAGGGCCTTCGTGCGCAGGCAGAAGATCAGGAGACGTGGTCTGCGCCGGTTTTTGGGACAAACGATATGCGCGCTGCGTATAGACAGCTGCCCAATCGTCCGCAAGAGTTGCCAGGCCTGGCCATCGCTTACTGGGATCCTGAGGCGAAAGCAGTCAGGTACGTGCTGTTGAGAGCCCATCCTTTTGGATTGGCCTCAGCGGTTTTAAATTTTAACAGGATCCCTGCGCTTGGAACTGCAGCCCTCCGTAGAATGTGCGGCGTGTGTTGCACGCATTTCTTCGATGATGTGGGTACGCTTGACACAGTAGGGGCCAGAGGTTCAGGTCAGGGCTGTGTTCACACGCTGTACACCCTCATGGGTATTGTGCTAGACGATGCCAAAGAACAGTCCATGGCCTTTCAGCGCATTTTTCTGGGGGTCCTGCTAGACCTCGCACGTGCCCAAACGCATGCAGTCATCAAGGTTGATGTCAAGCCGGGCCTACGTGAGGCCCTGTGGCAAGAGATGGAAGAGATGCTCGACGCAGACTATTGCACGCCAGGCGAAGCCGCTAAGCTTAGAGGTCGCTTGACTTGGGCATCGTCTAGCATGTACGGCAAATGTGCACGTGGTGGCCGTGCCCCCTTGGTGCGCCAGCAGTACGCAGCAACAACGCCTCGCTTGAGCCAGGACATGCGAGACGCCTTGCACTTTCTACAGGCCATGGTCATGCAGGTCCCAGGGCGCGAGGTTCATCTGCTGCCAGCAGTCTCCCAACCCCTCGTGTTGTACAGTGATGCGAGCTGGGAACCGCGTGAAATGAACTTTCCAGGGCTTGGCGGAGTCCTGTGCGGCCAAGGTCCACATGTTCGAGGCATGGCGGCTACTGTCCCAACGCTTGTCACGCAGGACTTGGAAGAGCGAGCTACCCAAATAGCGCCGCTTGAAGCTCTTGCAGTGCTCCAGGCTACGCTTTGCTTTGCGCAACAGCTTCACCAGAGAGATGTTCTCTTATTCGTAGACAACCAAGCCATCGTGGCAGCATTGGTCAGGGGAACTTCGCCATCTCCTGATATTGCCCGGATAGTGTCTGCGTGTCACTTGGTTTGGGCAGTGCTTGGAGCCCGAGTGTGGGTGGAGTGGGTTCCCACAGACTCGAATGTTAGTGACGGCCTTAGCAGAGCGGGCACTCGTGACAAGTGGACCTGCAGTCAGGGCTGGTGCCTGCGGGATGTCACCTGCATCCCATGGCACGCCTTCCAGAAACTTCAGCTCATCGATCTGCCAAAAGCTCTTTTACATTGGGCTCTTACATTGGGATAGCGGATCATGTTTGCTACATGTTCAGCATTAAGCTGTGAAACGGCTTCTCAGCCGAACAGGCCGCACACAGCCCAATGGAGCGGCTACGATCATTGAGCACCTCTTGAGAAAAGAGCGCGCTTCTGCGACGCACTCTTGTGTGAGGGGATGCATATGATTAGCAAGTGCATGGCTGGTTGGGAAGGGCCACTTGCACATATATGCATGGAGCCATGCCTAAAGCATTGTGCTCAAATTTCATCTTTGATTGTCCCGCCCTAATCCCACCCTTGAAGGAGGTGTCCGACGAGGAGGGATAGCGGATCATGTTTGCTACATGTTCAGCATTAAGCTGTGAAACGGCTTCTCAGCCGAACAGGCCGCACACAGCCCTGGGATAGCGGATCATGTTTGCTACATGTTCAGCATTAAGCTGTGAAACGGCTTCTCAGCCGAACAGGCCGCACACAGCCCAATGGAGCGGCTACGATCATTGAGCACCTCTTGAGAAAAGAGCGCGCTTCTGCGACGCACTCTTGTGTGAGGGGATGCATATGAAATTTAGAAGCGTGATAGAGAATGCAGCTGACAATGCACCCCAACCCCACACCAGCACATCCCCGTGTGGATCACGGCCTTATATGGGGTTCGCTTCTTGCATGCCTCCAAGGCTGCGCTGTCGGCACATGGGCGACGGCTCACTGGGCTGCCTGTGCTGGAGCCATGCCACCCAGGGCAGAGCATGCATGCAGCGATGATTGCAGCCTCCGCTCACTCTTCCGTCTCTCTCTTTTTTTTTCCTCTCTCTCCCTCTCGCTCTCTTTCTCTCCTCTCTCTCTCCTCTCTCTCTCCTCTCTCTCTCCTCTCTCTCTCCTCTCTCTCTCTCTCTCCTCCCTCTCTCTCTCCCTCTCCCCCTCTCGCAAGTCCGCCGAGGGCGTTGAAGCGGAAAGCCTGCTCCCCTGCGCTGAGGTACGAGGTGTTCTTCGACAACGGTGCCGGCGTCGGTGGCAGTCTCACGACCTCGATCTACGCCTGTGCCCGAGAGCACGCGGGACTCGAGCCATCCCCAAGTTCAAGAGTCGGCCCATTCCTGGGCCCCTCGCAACCCTTTGCAGCTTTTCGAAGACTGCAAGAACCTCACGTGGCGCCAAGGTGGGCTCGGCCACGTCCTACCGGAAGGACACCCTGAACACTGGCGTCACCTACCGCTTCCAGGCGCCCAAATCTGCGGTGGAGCAACGATCAGAATATGTAAGAATATCATCACATAATCGTACTACCTAGTCTAGGCATGTGTTCGTGATAGTTCGTGATTGGCACATCGGATGTTTCCCTTCGCTCAGATCCGGGCCCGCAACGCCAACGGCTGCAGCCTGAGACGTACAGACATGCCTAGGTGGAAATGCAGGCGAACTGCAAGTGGTTCACGTCTGCCAGTCTTGGTTTCAACTGCCCCCCCCCCCCTCCCCTAGGGAGGAATCACAAGGATGTAAGGCTACACGTGTCCAAGTGTGTCTGGAGTCGGAGAAGAGGGCCTGCAGGACCACGAGCACAGACACATTCAAAGCGCTTGACATCATCAGCTCTACGGCCGAGCCGCGGCAGATCGCTGCCCCACCAGTGAGCTGCTGATCACATCTATCAAGAACAATACAGTGCAGCATATATAGATATACACATGTGCGATACAAGTCTAGTCAAGTTAGTGTACAAAAAACCACTAGCTAATTACTTCTTCAATATCTCAATGACATACTAAAGAGCAGCTAGCTCCTAGCCAAACAGAGCTTCAGGATGGGGACCCCTGAGCGGCATCATGTCCTTCGCCGCCTCCGAGGCTCCCCCCAAGAGCCTTTTGAGCTTTTGAGCTCTTAAGTGGTTCCTGGAGTAGGGAGTTGGGGAAGTATACTGTTGGGTCCATCTAATGATTACTCAAGTGAGTTTTTTTCACTGGGCTTTCCGATTCATGGAGGGATTTTGACCTCAAACCCCAAGAAAGCCTCACTCTCCTCCCACCCAAACTACAAACAAACAAAGCCCCTCGGAAAGGTTAGGGGGAGGGGTTTAGGGTTTAGGGTTTGGGGTTTAGGGTTTAGGGTTTAGGGGGCTTTGGCAGGCCCCTGGCGTGCCGCGGAACCTGAGGCCAGTTGCTGAGCCACTCCCTGAAGTAAAGTCTTAGGGGGGAAGCAGGACAAAGGTTGTTGCTCGAGTTTTCCAAAATGAAAGAATCAGTCAATAAATACAATAAATACAGAAATAAATATATGAATATGAAAACGTACATCTAAAAGGTAGACTGCATATTTAATATATATGTACATAACCATTGCGTCGTTCGTATACTTCTCGTGTATGTACACTTGCATTAGGTACTTGGCCTCAACGACGACGTCGTTGCAGGCCTTCGAGTGTTGACCAAATCTGGCCACATATGGGGGTCACTGAGACTCACGCTGAGTGGCACTCAGAGATGCCAGAGGTGGGCTGGGATGTCCCAACCGCCGTCCACAACGACGAGTCGCCCATTACTCGTTACGAGGCCGGCGTGACGGGAAGTGCCACTTCTAATCTTCTATGCCCAATGTGGAGTATATTCTGATGATGCTGGTACATTGTTCTCATGATACGTAGTCATTGCTAGTAGGCATTGCTAAGCAATGCCCGTGCTGATTCTCTCAAGGTGCTGTGGAACGACCAGACCACCATGTCGGCCACGCAAATGCTGACGACATCCCCGGGCTTCAAGCAGGCGAAGCGGATGCGAAGCGGATGCGAATCGATGCGAAGCGACCCTTCTTCAGATCCTTGCTCAGACCCCTTCTGCCAGTCTTCTACAAAATCCCTCGTACGACTTTGTAATCCCTCACAAGCCCTCCTAAAACCCCTGTAAGTTCCATAAGCCAGCGAAGAGGTTTCTCGGGGGGAACATGTTGGGCTTCGCGGGAAGCAGGTGACCCCTCCTGGGCCACTGAGCACCGGGCACACGATCCGCTTCGAGGCAGCCGCAGTCGGCATAAAGGGTCGTTTTGGGGTTGGAGCCTGCGCCATCCTAAGCCCCATGAACTGGCAGAGAATTCTGCTACATTTCCGTGAAGTCTCCACAGTGGCCGCAGAGGCGCGTGCATGCAACATCAACGAATGCGGCTCCTACTCCACAAGGTGGGGCGACTGATTCTGGAGATCTTCGGAGATTTAGTTCATGTCATAATCAACACATATTTACAACCATGAAGTTACAGGGATGTGAGGATGGGTCGGTTTGGACCTGACAGAACTTCTTTCTTTCCTTTCTTGCCCTTGGACACCTTCTTCAATCCTCTCCATCTCGTAAAGGTTGGATCTGGTGGTCGGAGGCTTGCCGCAGGCCCGTGGAGTGCGCTTTCTCTTGCATTCTCCGTAGAATTTGCCTTTGGAGGGTGTTAGGTGGGTCTTGAGTCGACGTCTTGTGGAGCTGAAGGGTTGCTAAATGTTGCGCTAGCATCATGATGGTTGCCTCCCAGGCCCCGTCGGCGCCCTTCATGGTCACATCCACGGGGTCGGCGCTTACGCTGGGCTGGGACTATGTTGGCAAGGACCCACGCTTGAGTTTCATCGCCCATTGGCTTTCTCCAAGAATGGCTGCTCATTGCCTGGGTGCAACCAGAACGTCTTTGTGCGTCTTCATCAAGTATCTGCGCTTGCCGTTCACGGCGTACCTGTAAGTACCATCCAAGTACCATCCAAATTTAGGGGGCTGACTTTTCAAATGAGGCACGGTCCTTCCCATCTAAGCACGACATAGCACGACTGGTACTCGTAGCTGTTTAAGGCCTCTCATGGGTGACGTGGGTATCCGTGGGTCACGAGCCTGCCGCAGAGGACAACGGTGGCGTGCCCTTGACGCAGTCCGCGGCTCGATCTTTGTGGCATTTCGGCTGTCCGCGCAAGAAGGGGAGGCGTGTTGACAGCGACAAACCCGGGCCATGCCGGTTGCAAACTGAGTTACAACGTCAAAGTGTCTTCGGACGGCGGGACCACCTACACAGCAGCAGGCGGGCGAGCAGTTGCGCAAGCTTTGCTGATTTTCCACTTCTTGCAGCTTGCAGTGCATGCAGGTAGCACCGCGGACGCTTCAGTGTTCACATTCACCTACTCATGCGGCGCCAGCCAGCTGTGGTGCCGGCATGCTTTGAAAGGGATTGGCGCGCGCCTCACCTCGCATCCAAACAGAAAAGGCCTGTTAACACGACTACACAGGACCCTGACGAGAAGACACTGGATCAGCCTCAGTTGGAGACGCGAAGAAGCTGAAAGGTTCTTCTTCAAGGTGGCAGCCGTCAACGGCGTCGGCGGCGGCAGTGGCGAGGGTGTGGTGGGCCCAGTGACATCCAGCGACAGTCGCTGCGGCATCGGTGCTCCGTCCCTGATGGCGAACTCAGGCCGATTCCGACCCTGTGGGCCTGTACTGCGTGCAGCCTCCCGCGACGCCATCGGTGCGCCAGCGTATGGAGCTGCCATGAGATGCCTAAACTAACACCTAAGCCCTATAGACCCCTCTTCATCCCTCTTCTCTCTTCTCGGGCAGTAGCGAATGACAATAAACAGTGCAGTGGCACGTGGCGCAGGCACCAGGCCTGACCACCACGGCCTCCTCGCTCACCGTGGCGCTGCACCTTTGAGCAAACACTGGGTGGCAGACGCCGTGTTAGTGGTTCTTTCAGTATATCGAGAACTTGCACAGGTTTTCTTCCATTTACGGTCTGTTGCGACTCTGTTGACTCTGTCTGGTTGCTACCACTAGGTATCAGCCCACCGCTGGGCAACTCAACAATGCGCAGCACACTGGCTGGCGGATTCTGGCGGGGGCCTTGTTGAAGCCAAGGATCTCTCTTCCTCATGGAGTGGTCATCGTCACAGTATACGTTCAAGTCAGTTGTCCCGCGCGTTACACATCGCTCCTTGACTTTTTCTACGTCCATCGTCACTCTTTGGCCGGCTCCCTTCCTTAAACCATGTCAGCATTGCCTAGCAACAGACGGCTCTCTCTCGCTCTCTCCCGCCGTATCTTTGTTGTGGCTCTCGAAGAGATATTTCCGCACCCCTGATTTGAGGTGGATGATGCCAACGACGCAGACGACATTTACAACGAGACGGAGGTTGCCGACACGTGTTCGGACTCAGCTCACGAGTGGCAATGCATTGCATCTTGTGGTTGTCTCGGATACAAAGGACAATTCTGTCATATACCATCACCACTGGCATCGTCACTGGGCACTACTACCGGGCAAAGCTGAAGCTGTGCTCGGTTGTCCGGGCCATGGCGGCCATGCAATTCCTTGTCAGCACTCTTCCGGCACAACGGAAAGCGTACATGTGTCCCTTCCGTCGTCTTGGGTGGTGCCCGCAGCAATGGCAGACTAGACCCTGTAAGCCCCATCCCATGACGACACTTGAGGCACACTGCAGCGCCGAGAGTGACATCGGTGGGCCTGTGGTTGCTGCCTCACCGCCGGATGCCCCGGCGGGTGCCCCAGCAGGTGTTGGCTTCGAGCCTGTGTGCAAAAGGCTCCAATGTAAGACCTAAACTCCCCAATCCCTGATTATCAGCCCTCTAAACCCTGCAGCCGACAAGCCCTGCGCCTTTCAGGCTCCGGTCTACGCGCTCTCGCCCGGGAGCCCGGCTCTGTCCTTCCTGGCACCTCCAGGCCTTCCCCCCCCCCCAACTTAAGCCTTCGTCTCATCTACTGTGTGTTTACATGTTTGTTTGTTCGTTGGTTTGTTCGTTCGTTTGTTTGTTTGTTTGTTTATTTGATGGTTTGTGTGTTTATCATTCTTCCATCAGCTCTATACTCTGTACATGTTGCATCATGCTATATCAAAATGATCGTTATGACCAAGATGTATACATATTTGTTTACGTGCATTTATGCGTATAGCTTTTTGGCCTATATGTTTGACGCCACTGTATGGCTCAGGTCAACAGACAACAGCATCACCCTCACTTGGGAGTGCGTGGCCCAGTTCCGTCGCAGCATGTTGCCGTTGGCCTGTGCCGCGTGGACTCACTCGTAAGCTCCCGTAAGCTCCATCTTGGGCTCTAAGAGACAGTATGTGACAGTATGTGTGGTGCATTTCTAGAAGTTTTGAGTATAAACAATTTAGAATCGTCACAGACGTTCTCAGAAGCAGCCGCCCGCGCCGGACAGTTGCGTGTACGGCCCAAACCGCTCGGGGACACGCCCAGAGCTGCCAAATGGCAAGACGAGGCTCCGAAGTCTGAAGTTTGAGCCCTCTGTTTTGAAGAAGAAGTCCCCTAAAGAGGCAGCCTCCTGAGCCTCGTGCTCTGTGGAGTCGCCGGCGCCCCAAGCTTCGGGCACCAGGGAGCTATATAGAATGTGCCACAACATTCTTTACACAGCTTAAAGATTCCTATAAATGTATGCAGTCTATAACATAAATTTCTAACTACAACTAGTCTTGTAGATATATAATAGTAAGCAAAGCTCTTTGTTCAGAGAGCTCCCTGAGGTCGCCTGCCTGCTGCGCAGCCTGGCGCAGTATGCCTTCCTGGAGCCCGGAAGGCCGGAGAGTGCCGCAATCTCTACACATGATGGCACAGCAATTTTGTTTGAGTACGACACTTGTACTATATGACTGCTGCAGATAATATATCATAGTTAGCTCCCCACAGAGCCTCCCTGGAGAGACGCGCTGCTCCCCCCCGAGGCCTGCAGCCATGGACCGGCGTCAGCTGCTGGTCGCTTCCGGCTTAGCAGGCGAAGGGAAGGGAGCCAGAAGAGTCCGCTACACACTTGTTCTTCAGAACCCATGCGTCTCTTACATGATCTGATGATGATGATGATGGTGGTGATGACAGACCCTGAAGGGGCTAGGCGACGGGGGGCTTTTCTTGGCTGTGCTTCTTGGCTGTGCTACAGCAGGCTACCGCGTTAAACCGGAATACATCATGAAGCCCTGAAAAAAGCCGGCATCCATGAAGCCCCTCCCGCGGCCGCCCTCTTTAGAGGCATCGGCGGCTTTTCGCAGGGTGCCTCCGCTGAGATTTTTGGAGTCCGGCGCCCAGCTACTTTGAGAGGTATGGTTCCGTTTCGGTCCTCATTGGATGGGGAGACGCTCGTATCTTTTTGGCCGAAGGATATAATGTCAAAACTTTGCTGTGGTTGGCCATTGGGACTGTAGGACCGTAGGATTCAAGCGCGTTCCCTGACGAGCAAGTCCCAAACCTCCCAAAATCCCTCTGCGGCTGGCAAAGGCCAACTTCAGTGTCTCAGTTTCTAAATGAGTTATCTCAGTTCTCACACGTTTAGGAAGGGCCTGCCGGAGCGCATCTCTGCCAAAAAGATCCTGTCTCCGAGCGTACATCCCCTGTATAACCTCGAACACTACAGTATCTCAAGCAACAGCAGGACGTGACGACCAAGAGGAAGCCCTTCAAAGAGGGTGATCTGAACAGCCCGCAAGCGCAGCAGGACCTTGGGAGTGACACGTTGGGGGAGACACTCGTTTGCCCATCAGGGAGATCACGGGAGGTTGTCACCTGAGAGAAGTCTAGCACAATGGTATGGTATATAGTCAGGCGTAGTTTAAGTCGAGGGAGCTCCCCGCGACAGGCGCTGGTGGGTCAGAGGCTCAGACACCAACGTTGCCATATTGTAAGTCGTTTTTGTTTAGGGTGTATCAGTTTCCAACGGAGCATGCTTCTGCAACGTGCTCACAGACGTACAAATTTTGCGTAGCGAACAAGCGGTCGAGCATTTATAAACGCTACGTTTGAGGTCCCAGGAAGACAAGCTCCCAGCCGGGTTGGTCGGTTTTTTTTGAGACCACACCCACTTTACAGCATGCAAGCGATTGCACGTGCTGAGGGAAGTCCAGAGACATTGGGCCCGTCTTCAGCCAGGATGCCTGCTGCCAAGCCTGCCAGTGTCAACGGTCGCGAAAACCGGGCGTCACATCGGGCGACCAATGTTGAGTCGGTGCTATGTACTCGTACCTTTCTGAATTATCTGAAATGCAAGCCTACAGCTTCGGGGTGGGCAGAAGAGAACGAAGCTGGCAGTCACGGACTCAGGGCGCCTGCTATGAGATCGAAAACGCTCAAGTAGGCGTCTGCCTCAGAGAGGGCCTTCGGTCCGATTTCAAGGGCTTAGAGCGGAGTTTTTACCTGGAAGATTGGAAGATCCTTCCTCCCCTTCTTTCCACTGAGAAGGCAAGACCATGCCTACGAAGAAAGGAGTGATTGTGCCGGCTGCCCAGTGACTCCCGAGGGGCCCTGAGGTAAACTATAGACGCACACTATATAGGCTCTACATAGACTGAACTTGTGTGGTAAGGTACGACCCAGATGCCCCGTGTGGTGCGGGAAAGTGCAGATCTCAGACTTGAAAGAAGACTGGAAGACATCATGTACTCCGCAGTGTGCTTTACTGCACGGACAGGGCGTTTGTCCACTCCTCCGGCAACGGCCAATTCGAGCCAATGACTGCCGCGCCCTTTCGTCGCCGAAGATGAGTAGTGCTTAAGAAATGTTAAAAAGAGGGCCGCAGAACAAGCCCTCCTCCCCCCATCTCCCCCCTTTATCCTTATCAGGCTGGGGGCGGCCCGGGCAAGTGGGGAGCCGAGAGCATCAACCCAATAGGCCAATAGGGTTTAGGAGGGCAGCTGCAAGAGAGATTTCAGGCTGGACAATCGGCTTTGCCGGCAGAAACTTTTCTGAGGCACAAGTATTACGCTGCGATCTACGACGCAGAGGCATCTGGAATCTGGGAGGATGCTGAGTTGCTGTGGTGTGCATTTGTCTGCGGCCTTCCTATGGATCGCCCTCGGCAGTTTGTGACGAACTACAAGGACAACATCGGCAAGTGCGCCTCCATTCCCCAAGGCCGCCCTGCCAGTGTACCCGAAAGCCCCCCCCCCCCCCCGTGTCCTGCTAAAGACGCAGGTTCCTGTCGTCGGAACTTCTCTGACTGAATCTCTCGCTCCTTCGTTTTTGTTAGAACCGAGTAGAATCGCGAAAGCCCTCGGTGGTGACGCAGTTTCTATCGTGAACAAAACGGGCTCATTGCCAGGCACAGCACCCTGAAAGCCTCTTCTCGCACATTGGCCAGGAATTGCTGTAAAAATGGCTGCACGTCTTTAGCGGCTTTTCCGAATTTCTCCACGAAGCGAAACTTCTCGACCTTGGGCCTTTGCGGGTGCGCAGGTGTTTGCTGGAATTGTGGGGAGCTTTGTTGGGGAGCCCCCCCGCCCTCCTCTTGAGGGCTCAGGGCTTCCTGCCAAAGCTACAAAAGTGAATCAGAGCTTCCCTGAAGGGTGGGGTTCAGGATTTATTACAGTGGTGGCGTTCTTGTTGAGAGAGAGGGAGATTTAGGGCCCAAAAGGCATTGTGACTGCTCTTGATCTACCGCTCTTCAGCCTTGGGGAATATGGGCCGACTCGGGCCGACGTGGGGGTGGCAAACGATTGGAGGGCTTGGCGGTTTAGGAGGTTATAGTCTGGGATGTTAACAGTCCTTAATGGGGATGATAGTATTTCTCGATCATAATCCCTATTAAGGACTGTCAGCACAAGGGGGAACATCCCAAATTGCAAAGTTCCGATAGGATGGAGGAGACGCAGTCAGAGGCAGTCGGAGGCCTTAAAGCTTAGTCGTTGCGAGACCAGGTGGGAACGAGACCATCAGCTTTGAGGCGCGGATCTGAACACTTCTACCCTGCTCTTCGAAGCATGTGGCTCCTTGAATGGCCACCACCCACCAGGGTGGTCCTTCCCCTGTATTTGCACAATTATGGGCATGCATCGGAGGGAGGGATCAGGGCCTTTCTAGAAGGGGGAGGGGTTTGTGGAGTCGGTGGCTATGGGGCTGCTGTGGGGTTGATCTCACGATTTCCTCTGCAGATTGCCAACCTCGAGCGCGGCGGCAAGTGCGACTTTTGAGTCGGTTCCCTTCAGCAGTAGCTGCTCACATGGCAAGAGTAGGTCCAATAATGGCAATTGTACACCGTCGCCTTTCTTAGTACTTGCATGGTAGCTTTCATTGCTGAAGCCCGAACTCACCAAAAGGCCGCATAGCACGCGGGATGTTAGTGCTAGAGCCCTGAACCCGTGGCGGCCATACAGGATTAGGCCCTTGATAACTTAAGTACCTTCCACCAGGTACCAGGAAGACTGCCGGAAGCAACCTTTTTCAGGATTTCCTTAGACCGATTTTCGCGGCTGCGCCCAGTTTGAGTCCCAGGCCTGCTGTAGGTCGTCCTCTGTTGAGGAACTTTAGGTACTTCTTGAGAGAATGCCCCAAACCGAAAATGGGTGACGCAGTACTTGCAGCAGCTTGGATTGAGATAAAAGTGGCCGATCGTGGCATTCTGCAGATTCCGACATGGCGGGCATCGGATAGCAAAAAAGGGCAAAGCGCCGCACGATGCCGCCAGTGTTGTTCTGGGTCTCAGCGGGGTTGCTTCCATTGCTGCAGCACAGTTGTGCAGCCAATGACTTGGATGCAAGGTTCTCCGGATCTAATGGGGGATCCGTCATCGAAGGCAAGCCGCAAGCCATTCTTCAACCCTCCGGATGCAGAGGGACTCCTGGCTTCTTGGCTCAGAGGCAGAAACTTGCCAGGTTGGTATATCTACGTCTCCGGTGATGGGGAAACGTGGCCCGACGTCACAAACCCTGACGACGAGATTGCAGATGTCAACAACCGCGTGCTGGGTCCTTAGAGCTCCGTGTACTTTCAGGAGGCTCATCGCAGGCTATCGACACATGCGTCTTTCTGGTAGAATCAGTAGAAGGGACCCTGCGCTGCCACTGGAGGTTTTACCTTGGCTGTGGCAACTGGTCCGCCAGCAAAAGCATGCTCTACGCAAGGGCCTCGCCACCCTTACCCGAGATGCCACACCCGAGATGCCACACGAGCTCACATGCGATTCTCAATTCACCCCTTATTTGAAACAGTCTTTCTCTCCCTGTCATGTAGTGGAGCAAAGCATTCAAGCAGACTGAACAGTTTCTAAGGGCATCCCTTGTTTACAGCTCTAGGAAGCCCTCTCAGCCTCTCCATCTGTGACTTCGGATCTTTTGAGGTCAAGGTCGCGGCTTACAGCCTGGCAGGAACTGGCACGCTCTCGGCCGGCAACCTCGGATCATGCCTGCCGCAACTGAAACATGCTGAAAATGTGCTCTGTCCGAGGATACGCTTGCCTACCGCTGCTCCTCTCCACCGGATACCCCCGCCACGCCCACCCTGGTGGACTCCAATGCTGAGAACATCACCATCGCGTGGCTGGGCCCTCAGTCTGAACCCGGAAACCTTATAAGGAGTGAGGGCCCATCTGTGCTCTTTCATTTTGACAAGAGAACTCGTCAAAGATGAGAGAAGCACAAAGCCTCCCCGGTGAGGACCGTGCCCACCAGCACGGAGCTGCACAACGCCTTGCACCTGGGCACCAAGGCGCGCCCTCGAACCCGCACAGCCCCCCATTTGGTTATTTTGAGCAAGGGGATGGTTCAAGGCCTTGCTTACCTAAATGGAAAGAGAGGGGGTGGGGGAGGAGGGAGGGCGGCCGAGAGATGGACAAAGGTCCAGTTCGATGATGGAGCTGCTGGCCCCTACACGACCGTCTCGATCACCGACACCCTGCAGGCCCCCTCGCAAGGAGTGGCACGGGCTTCCTTTCTCAGAGGCGTCTTCCGCTGTCTTCTCAGAGTCCATGCTTTGCCGAGGTTCAGTACACAAAGACTGGGCTGTCTTCAGGCCTCACCTACAGGCCCAGCTTTGTGTACAGACTGTACAGCTTCTGTTAAACTCTATAGTACTTTCGACTGTCTGGTTTCAATTTCAGTTTTGCAGCCACGGACTGCGACCCTCTCACGGCGAGGTTCCGCATCCAGACCGTCTCGGAAACTGGGGAAAGCACTGCGTCCGCGGTTCTGTCTGAGCCTGACAATTTTTCAGCTTCCGCGCACCCACACGGAGTGACTATCGCAGCGACTATACAGTCAAGTGGCAGTGCTCTTGGCGCTGCGACCTCCTTAAAGGTCCGTCGTGGCGGCATCTGTCCCAGACGCCCCAGTGGTGTCCATAGCAGGGCACCCGGACTATCTCAGAGCTTTGTAACCCGGAGTCTTCGATACATGAAATGAAGTATGAAACCGACTGACATCATCTGATGCCATCATGGAACGGCGTGGGCATGAAGTGATGGGGAACCTACGCATGACATCGTATGCCTGCCCCGTGCCTGCGTGCCCCGTGGCCGAGGTCTCTACTTCCGACTCTACCCTGGAGTATTCCGCGGTGTTGTCGGGTTCAACAGGTGCTCCGAAGGGGGCGCTATTGTTTTTCTTTGGGTCTTCATCGGGCCTGTTTGGAGGGTGATGTGCAGTCCTGCCTCGAAGCGTATTTTCCAATTGAGTTCAAGGGCTGATGGAAGGCGGATCGCCCATCACGGAGTGGCGAGCCTACATTTCCACGGACGGCGTGGCATATCCGATCAACCCCAACATCCCCACGGCCTGACTCTCAATGGCAGAACTTGCGCATGCTGCTGGGGCACTGCGGGAGCGATGCTGCTGCGTCTCTTTTGCGCATGTCCAGTACGTAACGTGATGCGAGATCTGTCCAACAAAAACCTGAATGTCCTGCCACCCCGAGGCTACACTAGCCGCGGCATTTGTGAGCTACTCGTTCGACTGCACGAACTTCGCAGCTGCTGACTGGAGTCAGCAGTGCGCCGCTTGAGGATACCTTAAGATGAAGAGATGTAGCCTATGGCCGCAGACCCCCCCAAGCCGTATACAATGACAAAGATGAGGTACATCTGGATCATCATGTCGGCCGTCAGCAATGCCGGGGAGGGTGCTTTCTCAACGCCCCTCCAGCAGCGATGCTCTGCTGCGTGGCCCTCAGAGAGTCTCAGAGCCAAAGTCATCTCGTCCCGTGCCATGGGCCTAAGAACAAGAATCTCAGATTCTTAAGTAGTCGACATCGGGTCTCGCAGGAAAGCTTCGAGAATTTGAAGCTGAAGCTTATTTTCCATGAGAGAGAGTGCAAGAGAGAGCGCGCCAGAAAGACCTGTAACTGTGCGCCAGGGAAGAGGCTAAGAGTGCAGCTCAGCTTCGGCCTTGTTTGCCTTTTCTCCCTCCGCAGATTCCGGGCACACCCAATGCACCTGGACTGGTCGACCCGTCACGTTGACAGCGCTGAGGGGCCCGGGGCTCTTTCTCTTGCTGGGGGCTAACGGCTTCAAGGACTCCACTTGCTCTTGCTTGGCGACAGTTTAGTTACGCACTTCAGTTCGTTTTGGATGTTATTGGGGTTGTCGTCGCAGCTGAGAGAGGCAGGCCATGAGCGAATGGAGCCACGACGGTTTCGTGCATGTGTTTTGTGATCTTCGGCGCAGCTGAATTCGGGGACGGTATCTGAGGCTGTTTCTTTGGGTGACCCCTACTGACTCTTTGGCCAGGTCTCCTCGTCGGCGAATGCAATCACACTCAGCTTCGATACAAACGGCAAGCAGCTAAGCAACGGGATGCGCATTTAAACAAGAATGCGAAGAAAGTCTAGCCGGAGCCGAGGACTGAACGGTGCATTCCTGACTGGCTTCAAGGCAAAGAAGATCAAAGAAGTCTTACGGTGGGAAGATATCTATAGCATTCCGTAGCCATTCAGGTGCTTCGGAGTAGGGCTTGAGAATTCGTTCATCTCGTCGAAGCAAGTCCATGCTCAGAGCTTGCAGTATGCTGCAGTATGTCAGCACGATGTGGCCCGGCTATGCTGGCGTCAGATCTACACGGATGACGGCAACAACGGACCCTGGTCCACAGACCTCATCACGGACACCACGCAGCGGACCTTCACCAAGCGCCCGCCCTAACCGCCACAAGCCGCAAGAGTCAACTAAACGCAGCTGTTCCCGAAAGAGGTTTTGTGGCAATAACGAATGACCCCAAAGCCGTGTGCCTGTGAGCCTCAAGCAGCTCTGGAGGAGTGGACACACGGAGTGTTCTGGGAGTTCTTTTTGATGTGAAGGTCCGGGCTGAACGCTGGGTTGGACTACCGCTTCAAAGTGGAGGCACATGGATGTCTGCGGATGCTTCTCAGATTTCAGCTAGTGACTAGCAGCTAGTGTGCTGAGCACATTGTGCTTCGCTGAGCATCCAGAGCAGTGGCTTGAAGTGATGCCTTGATGTAGGTCGTCTCGGAAGTTGGCACCAGCGCCTCCTCGCCCGTTGCCACATATGTGTCTGCTGCCATGCCCTCTGAAGGGGTCGACTATGGCAGCAGTATCGGCAGTTGAAGTTATTCGAAGTCCGAAGCGTATGAAGCCTCACGCTTCCGATGCAAGGCGACCCCTGATGCCCCCACGGTCAGCGTCTCCAGCTCCACGAACAGCATCATCAACTTGGACTGGGTTGCAGGCCGTAGATTCACTGCAGTTGGGGGGGGGTGCAGTTGGGGGGGGGGGGGGGAACTTGGGACTCGCCAGAGATGCTGTTGGAGATGCCTGGAGGCGGGGATGGTGGCTCGGTCATCACCGGCTGGCGCGTTTACCTTTCGAAGGCCGAAGTGCTCCCCGGATTTCTGGCCGCTTGCTTCTTGCACTTGCCCCTTACCCGCCATATATACGGCACACTTTGAGACGGGTTTTCCCTTTTCTCTGTTGACAAGCTCACTCTGGCTGGGCAGGACGGGGCGACATGGTCAGCGCTCGCCAGTCCGGAGTGCCCCCGAAACCTGAGTGAATTGTCATCTTCCCCTTGAATTCTTTTAACCATGAGAGCGTGTTTTGCGCGCGAATACGCATGGGTACGGCTCCCATGGCGCCCCCACCCCCTCTCTGCTGCATAAGAGACCATAAGAGCCTCATATCGCAGGTACACGATCATTGTGGGCTCAACCCTGACCCAAGCCGTCGACTGCAGCTTGCCTTGCAGGGCAGCGCGGGGACAGCGCTCTGTCAGCCATCGGTGTTTCTTGGCTCTCCCGGAGCTCAGGCACTGACACAGTCAAGTGGGGCGGATCTGTGGCAGGGCCCCCGGCAATACCGACTATCCTTCATCTGTGCACTCGCTTCATGCCAAGGTGTCGCAGCTCTACGTCTACATGAGGGCCGGTTGCCTGCTGCCCTCAAAAGAAGAGCCAGGTAAAGATTGTGTGTTTTAAGTGTACCATGGTTTGCTCGGCAGGTGTCGGGCGTCAACAGCGCTGGCACCGGGACCCCTTCAAACTCCTACCGCTGGCGCTGTTCAGACAAGCCTGGAACGCCAGCAGTCCCTGCCAAGGCCACGACACCCCTAGAGGACTCTTGTGGTCACCCGTTAGTTGGTGCTTTAACAGCAAGGCCCCCTCTAGACTGCTATAAGCTCCCTCTGATGCAGGTGAGCGGAACCACCAACACAATGACCATCTCGTCCATGCCCCAGCTGACCCTAATAGCATCCCGAAGCCCGGTGTTGCCATACTGCCCCTGCATCTGAGGGTTCTAATCTTGGTATACTCGAGCTGCGCTGTCCAGGTTCGCGCCGAATGGCCTGAACGACGCCGTCCTCCTTGGGTGAGCCCTAACTTTCAAAAGCGGGGGCTTTCAGTAGATGTTTCAGACTTTGATGCACCAAAGTGACGGCTCCCCCTCAGTTCCTCCCTTGGCCTTTGCCGATTTTGCTTCTGTGCTTGGTTTTTGGTTGTTGACTGGTGACATATTGAATCATGATGAGGGGGGGTGGGCTGAACTGTTGGGTAATCGGAGGAATGTAGGTATGAGGCATGGTGAAACCATGTGGCTGGGCCTGTGTGGTTAAAGGTACAAGCTCTACTACGATGACGGCCTAAGCGGTGCCTACACAGAGGTGAGACGCCTGAAGCTCCCACATACTGCAAGAAAGGGGGCCACTGCGGTGTGAACGGCTTGAACATCTTCTGTTGTGGAGGTCTATGTGAGCTCTGGGGCCACGTCGCAATACACCTTCACCGGCCTCACTGCCGCACTCCCGTACCGCTTCTACGTCAAGGCCGGACCCCGGTTCGGTTCGAGGAGCTTGAAGATTGGGATGAGGATGCGCATCGGGACTGATGCGTATGGCGTGTGTACTTTGCAGGGGATTCCCTTCTTGCATGGATCGCTCTTATCGAAGTGTTTTGAGGACAACCTCGGCATCTGAAAACAAAACCAGAAGCTACAGATAGCTACAGATATAGAGCTACAGATGTTCCTTGTCTGATTGGGCCTTCAGGTAGTCTCGGAGGTTGGGGACAGCGATGCATCGCCTGTCCTCACTGCCGTCGTGGGCGCCGCAGCTCAGATTTCTCTGAAGTCTCATGGTGGTACTGCCTGCGACCTAAACCTGCCCAAGCCTTCTGCCCCAAGTCAGCCAAGCTCCTGAGGCAGGCTTACCAAGGGCTTGTGGGTTTCCATGGTTATGATGTTTATTTAGAAGGCACCACGCGGTCACGCTGGTGACGTTGCTTCGGCTCACATGTGCTTCCATGCCAGCTGCGGTACAGGGCCAGTGCCACTAGGGGAGTCCGGGGACATGCTTGTTAAACTGTTAAACATTATTGTATATCATACATGTAATATAATATGTACTATTTGCATACCAGTCAGGATTATCTAATATGTATATATATATATAGAGAGATGTATGTCATAGAACAACATTCCTGTAGACCGTGTACACACGACTCGTAGCTGCTAGCTGCTTTGACTCGTGTCATGGTCTCCACCCACAAGCATCCAAGACATCTCAGTGCCCATCACGTGACTAGCTACGTTGCAAGACGGGGAGACGGCAGTCCATGGTGCGGCAAAGTACTCCAATCCATGGCGTCGCCGGCTTTCCGCAAGTGGTGCCCAGTTCTGCACTCCTGAAGATTCTTGACAACACAACGAGGTTAGCGAGCTTAGGATATTCTAATGCCTCTACTTGACGGGTCAGAATAGACATTGATGACCATATATTTTTAGGACCTTGGAGGGTTCCTGAATTCTCGCACAAATCAAATCACCTTGGCAGGTTGCACGTGCTCTCGCGAAGTAAGTTGACATCGCACGGAAGAAGTAGTAGAACAAGTTGACAACAAGTTACACACGCACATGCGCCTGTGCCTGCGCGCCTGTGCATTTGCCGGCTCATATGTGTGCCTGTTGCCATATGTGCTGTGCCCTTTGTGTCACGTTTTTGCTTCGCTCCTTTGCTGCCTTCAAAAGACCTCGGCCCTCGAGAGCCAATGCGCGAGATCGTACGGAGCGCAGACAAATATGCAGACAATGCCGAAATAGGGTGAGAAAGTGTTATAATTTGTGCAAGCTGGTGGGGGAGAGGTACCTGGCGCTGGCCAAGGAGGATGCGGCGCAGAGCGAGCAACGGTTGGCGCAGAGGTCCGCCTTTCCAGCAACTACTTTGTCGACATGCGTAAATTCATAGTCATGGGCTCTTCGGCATGGCAGAGCAGAGCAACTTCTCTGGGTCAGGGTTCGGGCAGCTCAGCTGTGGACCTGGCTACTGGCTGTGCAGCGCTCTAGGAAGGCGGTCTTGCCGGAGCCCCAATCAAGCCGTGGTGCTCGGTCACAGTGGCTGCGCATGCCCGAGCAAGGCTGTTTGCTCTTCGGAGTGAGTGAGTTCAGCTGAGGCCATATGATGCTCAGCAGCTGCTACTCCAGGCCAGTGAACTGCGTTCACAGCTTGTACATGAAACTCAGCAGCTAAGCAGCTAGGCATGCTCGCGCAAAGATGCCTCAAGCCAGCTTGCCCACCGCACACGCGTGAATCGAAATGTAGAGATACCTTGGGCATGGTTGTTTGCATAGAAGTCGCGCCGACGTGCGAAATTTTCCGCTTGATGTCTTCCGATCGCATCAGACAAGGGCTCCCAGAATTCTCCCAATTTGCTGAACCTGCCATGCCAGTTCCTCGCTGGCGATGTCTTGCCGAAGCCAGGGGCCCTATTGGGCACAGCGAGCACCGTGATGCTTCAAAGAGTGCCAAAGGGGACTCTGCAGGGTCATTCACTCTCATGCTGTGCCTTGCAAACCTCCGCCCCTTCTCTCTTCTCTCTCTCTCTCTCTCTCAATGTCTCGCCTCCCTCCCCATCCCTCTTGTTTGAATAGCTCTCGTGTTGCCCCTAGTTGGTGCCTTTTTGCTTTGCCGTGAGTTTTTGCGCAGCAGCCGTAGCTTTGAGGCCGACCTGCGCGGCGCGCCTCAGGCGGATTGCCGAGTCGGCACGGCAGGCAGAGTCCTTAATAGGGAATATGACAGGGAAACCTACCCAAGGCGGGTACTTCAATGAATGGGGTGTACTTGGCGATTGTAAAGGTGTCCAACTTCCCAAATCCTACGAAGCCGGGTCCCCTGGCTGCGAGGCGGCGGAGGCCGAGATGCGGATGGCCTTGGAGGACTTCGCGGGGGGCAATTGAACGGCAAAGGGAATAAGCAGGATGCAATTTCTGATATCTGGTCTACCCCAAGGTGCGATAATCCTTGTTAAGAGGCCTTCAAAAGGGTAAATAGCCACATTTTTTCTTGTATCTGTCACTGTATCTTTTGATTGTATATTCCATCAAGGTCCTTGCCTATTTAGTTAGGCCTATTTTGGCGTATGGCGCTGCCCAGCCCCCACTCCATGATAAAGTCTATCTCAAGATCTCCGCCCCCACCCTAGGCCCTAGGATAAGCAAAAACTGTCTTAAGATCTCAAGCCCCAATGTAAGATCCCAACCTCAGCTACCATCCGAGGAATATAATGCTTACAACTATCGGCATGTCCATGGCGACGACAAAAAGGAAAGCAGCCCACCCGTCGGGTCGGGCAAATGGGACCCAAATTCTACAAAGTTACGCGTATGGCACTCAGATAGTTGTAAGCATTATTCCTAGGATGGTAAGATAGATTATCCTAGTATTGGGGCTGAGATTTTAAAATATATCTTTTTATTGTAGGGTGCGCGGCGCGGGGGGGGGGGGGGGGCTGAGATCTTGAGATAGATTTCATCCTAGGGTGGGGGCTGGGTGGTGCCGGACCCCTCTAACTGATTCAAGCCCCCTCCTCCCCCCCCAACGCTCTTGTCTCACCCCTTGAAGCGTACACGGGATGACCATGACACCCGGAAGCCCTGCCTGCGAAAGCCCCCAACACCACACCGTACGCCATCTTGGAACCTTACATTCCCTAAATGCCCGAAGCCCAATACTTCCCTCTCTAGACAATCCCAGAGGAGTTGTTGGAGACCATCCTCCTCCCCCAAGCTGAAGTTGCCGCATCCAACTGCAAAGTTCGGTGCCAGGCTCCCGTCTGAGTTTCTATCGTCAAGTTCAGTTAATACGTGGTTTTTGACTTCCATTTATCGATTCCTGTTGGGGTGGGGAGGGGGGCATGCTTTTCGCGGGCATGTTTTGGGCTTTATTTGATTTGGGGGGCCGGGGGGGGGGTATGTTTCTTGGCGTCCTCCTTGCCCGCAAGCCGAACCCTAGTCGGCCCTGAAACCCTTTTCACCATCTAAGCCCTAAGCTATGGCTTAGAGAGAGCGGGCTTCAAGATCGCTTGGTGCTGTGGAGGCCTTCTTGGATGGCGAGCCAAAGGATAGCGCGTTGCGAAGGCCGGCGGTTTCTTCCCCAAAACAGGGGTAGCCCTCCAAAATACTCCCAAAACACGATGCTCCCCATGAGGAGCCCCCTGAAACGGAGGCTTCTTAAAGGGCCAACCTAGAAGGTGGACGGCTGGTGAACATGACGAGCCCCGCGCTGGTTGGATGCGCACTAGGTAAAACTGAACAGATGATTTTCGGATCATTCCCTCTCCAAGGCGCTTTCATGCATAGGCCTTGGAATGAACCATGTTCGTAAATACAATGAAGAAAGGCAGTGTGCTGGTTCTGGAATCACTAGCAAGAACAGTGTTGACCAAACCCCTTGTGGACCCTGAAGCATTGAAATCCTAAGCCCTATATAGCCCTATAAACCCTAGAACCTTTCAACTCCCTGTTGCCAAGATGCCACACATGTGTTTAGGGTTTGCCGTTTTCGCGTCGACATTGAAGTTGCCGGCCCCTCGCCTCATCCAGTCATGGCTGTGGGTGGATGTCAACATGGCCAAATCAGAACTTTGCAACAGATACCGATACCCCTGTAAGCAACTGAGCAACTGGACTCCCCATTCCCCTCCTTAAACCCTGCTGAACTCCCCCCCAAGCTTCAATTTTCACGTCAAGGCTTTACAGCGCCATGCTCCAGCTGAACCGGGATCCCTCCAAAGCTTTGAAGGATGCGCTGGAAGAGCGAGGCAAGCGGCCCTCTTCGCTCTTGCGCACCGCATCTACAGGCACATGTTTATCTGTATATGCACACATATATATATATACATATATTTATTTATACTGTGCACAATACATATAGAGAGGCATATACAGAGAGAGATGTATGTTCTTGTACGTATGTATGTATACATATATGTATGTGTATGTATTGTTTATGTAGCTTTTCATAGTATTTTAAACTTACACAGACATATATATATATATATGCTACCCCCCCCCCCCCAGCGACCTACCCTTTTTAGGCCTTGTTAGGCCTTTTTAACGAAAAATGACAAAGAAGGCCCAAAAGTCGCGTAGTTAATCACCGGGTAATGAAGGACAGTTACTGGGACGACACCCACCTCACAGACCCCGATAAGCCAGCATTGGAAGAATCTACATTTTGAATCTGAAGCGGACAATGCTGTTTTTAGATGTTTAGATCAGTGTTTTTCTATGCAAATTGTGCGTTTCAAGGGCAATTAATGTTTTGTTGAGCAACTAATTTATTTTTACAATTGTGTTTGTACGAGGCAAAGTATTTAATCAAATAGTGAAACATTTTTCTTGGTTCTATGCGAATTTAGCTATTAGAGTAATTATTATTAAGCAAGAGCCCAATTTGACTCAAGTGAATACTATTTGAAGGAGCATACTCAACCAAGATACGAAATAAACACCATTCTCAACCAAAAAATGGCAAAGTGTGCGTTTAAAGTGCAAATACTGTATTTATACAATTGTGTTTGTACTAGGCAAAGTATGCTCTCTGAAAAGTCCACTGAAATACCTTATGTTTACATATTCATGAATCGTTTTTGTTTTTGAAATAATCATCTTATGCGAATTTAGCTACTCGAGTAATTATTAAGCAAATAGCCCAATTTGACTCAAGTGAATACCATTTAAAGGACCATACTCAACCAAAATACGAAAGAAGCACCATATTCAACCAAAATATGGCAAAGTGTGGTTTAAAGGGCAAATAGTGCTTTGTTGAGCAACTAATGCATTGAAACAGTTGTGTTTATACCAGGCAAAGTATTATTGAAGTACTATCTGCAAAGTCAAATGAAACACCTTATGTTTACATATTCATGAAACAGTTTTTTTGAAGTATTCATTCTATGCGAATTTAGCTACTAGAGGAATTCTTAAGCAAATAGCCCAATTTGACTCAAGTGAATACTATTTAAAGGACCATACTCAACCAAATACGAAATAGACACTTGCGGAAATGGAAACGGTTCTACGTACATAACAATGAGACAAAGATTGCCGAAGTATTCACTAAAGACCACTTATATACTATGTCTGAAAAGCACAATTTGCATGAGCAAGCTTAAAAATGCACAATAATGGAAATAGAAGCGGTTCTACTTACATAACGATGAAACAAAGATGTCTGAAGTATTCAATAAAGACCACATATATACTATGCTTGAAAAACGCAACTTGCACAATCAGGCTTAAAAAATGCACAAGAATCCTAGAAAAGTACCTAGTGAAGGCCATACACAAGCAAATTCACAAATACATAAAAACATCCAAAAGCGCAAGCTTTTCAGGAGAATCTCTGGTAAAGTTTGGATTATAGGGTTTTGGGGTATTCCTGGACGAGTAGGAACAATTCTAAGCAATAAATGCTTTTTCTCAAGACAAGTATTGCAAATGCTGCTTCTAGATAATTAATCGCATTTACCAGGCAAATATTATCCATGCGAATTGAGCTACCAGAGCACCAAGTAATGGCTGAATAAGGTCTACTAGACTTGAGTACAACCAAATGATGCACTAAACGCTAGCGGCTCTACTTACATAATAACGAAACAAATAGTTCTGAAGCACTAGAAAGACCACTTGTATACTATTTCTGAAAAGCACAATTAGCATAAGCACACTTAAAAATGCGTAGTTGTTGCCTCGTGACCGTGAAGGCGAACCAAAAAGCCAAAATACCACAACCAAAAAACCAAAAACACCAAAACCAAAAAAACCAAAAAAACCAAAACCAAAAAAACCAATTTTCCGGGACTCTTGGAGAAGCCTCATAGGGATTTCCTGAGAGTCCCGGAAAATTGTATTTTTTGGTATTTTTGGTTTTGTTTTTTTTGTTTTTTTTTTTGTTTTGTTTTTTTTGGTTTTTTGGTTTTGGTTTTTTGGTTTTTTTGGTTTTGGTATTTTTGGTTTTTCTACTGTCCCGTGTATGCGATTTTTGTTGCATTTTAGTCTACGCCCTAGGAAATACGCTATATTGCACACCGAGTTTGCTTGCAGTGCAGCTGGGTGACTTGAGACAAGGCGAAAAACGGTAGGTCACTGGGGGGGGGTACCATATATATATATGTATATACATGCATAGGCATATAATGCACATACTCTAAGTATACATACATTATGTGTATGTGGACGCCACCCCCTACCCCCCCCCCCCCCCCCCCCGACCGCCGGCTGTTCTTGTCTCTGTTGGGTCCTGGGTCGTTCTGTCTATTCTAATTGACCGAGTTGCGCTAGTCACGCTGCTGCCACTGACACCGAGGAAAACAAGCAGACAAAATAAAAGCAATTTTTTCAGAGCAATTGGAGGAACTGGAAAAAGCTTGTTTTTTGTCCAAGATTCCAGCACACGCCCCATGTGGATTGGACCTTCTGCACAATTACAATATAGTTTGAGTTGCATCGCTATTTCCAGCATGAACAAAGGCCCCACAGGTTAAAGCTGCCCATCGATGTTGCACGGCAATGCTGCTGCCACCAGCAAATGTCCCACCCCCACGTCACAACAGACTTATCTCGCAAAATGGTAGTAAATGCTCGGGTGGCTTCAAACCATCTTAATTTTTACTATAGGGCAGGAGGTCGTTTTGGTGAAGAAGCAAAATTTCCCCGAGAAAACCATCTTTTCTGGGGCAACAAGATGGTATTGGCAATTGGTTAGACAGCCATCTCCAGATGAATCGGTGGTGACTTCGGGCCTGGAAGACTATGGGGGGCCGAAGCAGTGCACAACGCGTTGCTTTCGCTTCCGTCTTGCGGAAGCTCTCTGCCATTCTCTGCCGAGGCTTTACCAACTGTTACATCTCCGAGCTCAAGCTTTGGCCCTCTCGGGTCTCCGTCGTCATCAATTGGTGACTGGCCTGCCGGAGACGGCGAAAGTGTTTCAGGAGATCGCGGGTGTGACACCCCTAATCATACACCTCCCCCAAACAAAAAGTAACTCTCTAGTCTATAGACTCGAATATGGGAAACCCCCACGCGTGGCCGACCTTTCCTGCAGTCGATTGAGAAAGCCGGCAGCTGCCGATTCCGATTTTGCATTTCGGGCGAACACGGCAGACCACTTTGCTTTACCTTCACCGTGGCTCCGGCTTAGGGTTCCAGGCAGTTGTGCACCGTGTCATTGCATCAACCACATCACACAGAAGTCAGAGGTCACGCCCCCTTGTTGACGTGGCAAGCGCTGTGAAACATTTGTGTGCAATCCTTCCTTGCCTCCGCTTCCATGGCGAAGCGCGGCCCAGTTCTCGGATTCTTCACATTGAGACGCGTGGGACATTCGAGATTTCGGAGCTTTGAATTCGAAGTTCCGTGAGCTTCTTGTCGGACTCAGGCCAGTCTGGTGGTTCCGGTGCGAGCTTGACGAACCAGAGCAAAAAGTCGGCGTCTCGAAATTGGTGAACGTGGGTATTCTTCTTCTACGCGCGCACTAAAGTTGTTCTGTGGAGGCTGAAGCACAAGAAGAAGAACAGGCCACGACGGGCACAACACTGCCATTCCCATGCAGAGGGGAAGGGGTGGGGCACTCCGGCAGAGGAGCGCGCGATACCAGGACAAGCAGGTGGGACGGCTCCGTTTGGTCGCTTCCGTCTGAGAGGGAGCGATGCTGGCATGAGGCTTCTCACAAGAACGCTGGCAGCGCCGCGGCCAAGGCCCAAAAATGTAAAGCCATAATTGTAAACGCTTGCGCGCGCCGCCTCGGCAGCCGGGCTGGCAGGATTTCTGCGAAAAGGGGGGTCCCTCAGGGGGCTGGGGTTCCAGGATGGGTCCCAGAAAGGGCGTCCAGGGGGAGTCCCAGGAAGGGGCATTTTGGCGTGGGGGAAGGGTGAGACCGGATCCGTGTCTGCTTGTTCCAAACGCTTCTACTCTTCTGGGCATCCTTCTGGGCAATTAGGCTCTCTTTGTGGCCTGGGGGAGGCGAAAGCCAAGCCATCGGGGCCAAAGACGTCGCCGAAGAGCAAGCGGGGCTCCTGGAGAGGAGTTGCGGCGCCTTGCATTGGCGTGCATTGCGCTAGGTGTCTGGGAGTTGTCTGTTGGGGGTCTTACCAACGGGTTGCCGTGTCGCTGCAGTGTGCTGTGAGGCCCAAGAGCGCGTCCAAGTCACCGAAGTCGTCGCCGAAGTCGTCGCCGAAGGTGCGAGCTGGGTCAAGTCACTCCTTGCCAGGAGTGACTGGCGCAGTTCCGGAGACTGTTAGCTTCAGAGTCAGCAGCAGCTTCCTTGGTCCATTGGTAAGCTTCCTTCTTGCATTAGATGCGGTTCCGGAATGGCAGGTGGCGCCAGCTGCGATGAACGTGGACTCATAGTGAGTCTCACAAGCGATCACGTCCACAACACGTCTCACAGTGACGCAGTGACAGTTGTCTCATTCTGACCTCGCAGCGCGCGAAAGACCAACCTGCGGAGTGGAGAGCCAGCCCCCACCGCAAGCAAACCAGCAAACTAGCAAACTCAGACAGACAAAATCAGTTCAAGTAACAAAGCCAGACAAAGCACAAAATCGTGGCGAGGGATCAGCTGAGCCCTGTTAAGGTGCTGATGCAGATGCGCCGTCAGCGCCGTACTACGTTTCTTCCCAGAACAACAACGAGCTCACCGCCGAACCCTTGGAGAGAGTGGAGGCGAGGCCCGGTCTCCTCAGCTCTCAGTTCATGCTTCTCAGGTCGGCTGGACCTTCTCAGGCAAGGGCTTGAGTAGCGGCTAGTGCAGCTCGTAAATGACAATGGAAGTCGGGGAAGCTCCCTCAAAACGCCTGTCCATCCGAAGTGCATGGAGCGCACTGCTAACTGGCTGGAAGGCTCGGACGGGGGCTCGTCGATCACCACCTGGCCTGCCTCTCATTTATGACGCTTTACAAGGGTGGACGTGCAAGGAACTCAAATTCGCCCAGTGGAGGAATGTCTACTACGCCATCGGTTTCGCAGCTGCCAACTGGCCAGCCGCCACCTCGCCAAGTGCGACGACAGCCGTGGGCCGGGGCCCCAGAGGAGAAACGCACAAAGGGCCCTATATGGATCAAAAAAAGGAGCACAAGAGAAGCACAAGCCCGCAACAATCATCTGATTCGTTGAAGGCGTCGTTGCTGCAAGTGTTTTGTGCCTGGGCCAGCTACTTTTTTCACAGGTACGGAGCAGGTCGTGGTTGACTGCACCAGCATCAGTGGCCGGTGTCCGAGACAAAAAACCAGACTGAAACGGTCCTCACTGGACCCAATAACCATTACGATGCAAGGCCAAGACCGGTCGCAGAACTTCGTGTACATCAGGGCCGGAGCCACAATGTCACAAGATCAAACCGGCACCTCTGTGCGGTAGTTTCGAATGACAGCAACTATGCTTTGCGGATCTTTGCAGGTATTGTGTAGGTTGTAGGTGTTTGCGGAGATGCTCACATGTCCGAGACAGATTTGGGTCTGTGTTTTTTAGGGGGCCCAGGTTTAAGAAGGGCACACGGGTTGCACACCCGCGAAACATACCCCGAAACATGCCCCCGAAACCGTAACGTACCCCCGAAATTGCAGGTAAAGTAGCTCATGATGCCGCGAAACACCCCCGAAACATACCCGCGAAACATACCCTGATCCCAACACCTGTCGCCCCCCCCCCCCCCCCCCCCATTATAGCACAAACCCATTTGCCCGAGGTGGCAGCAGTGACTGGCGTGGGTGTTGGGCAGTGAGCTGACGGCATGGGTGTTCGCACATGCATGCATGGGGACAAGGGTGTGGCAAGTGGCAGAAGTAAAGTGCGCAAATAAGTTGCTCTCGCTGACAGTTGAGCAGCAAAGCAACGAAAGCCACAACAGGTACTCTCCCATCAGCCGCATCTTCTGCGCGAACAAGCCGGATGCTCCCACAGTGCGGGGCACTCGGCAAGGGCACGTCGACCGTTTTTTTTTTTTAAACTAGGCTCTTGCACAGTTGCGGGACATGACCTGCTGCATCACAGGACGAACGGCTACGCGGGCTCCTCGACCTCTGCCAGAGCCCCATGTTGGAGCCGATATCGGGGACACAAAGCTTACAAAGCTTAAAGAGCTTACAGGATTGGCCTTGGTTTTTCAGTGGATTCTGCTGCCGAATGGTCGCCAGGTGACCGTGAACTTTGCGGAAGGTGCCCTTCTCAGCCTTCTCAACGTTGTTCAACCCAGGTGCTGACTTTGTCGAAAGAGCTTCGGAATTAGCGGGATCTCGGACCCTTTCCCAAAAAGGGATACCCTACAACAGATCACCCAAAAAACTCTCTTACCCCAGATCTAGGAACCCTCTCCTGAACCCTCTATTTTCGGAAGCCCCTTTTTAAAGACGGGGGGCGGGGGCGGCTATGAGGTGCGCTGAATGGTGCTGAGCTCCTTGCCTTCAAGGCTCGCAGGGTATCCTCAGGGTTTGCAGGTGTTTAGAGCGCTATTGGAGGCTTTCTAGGGTAGATTATTGGTTGTATAGGATCTAAATGGCCTCACAGGATCACTGATTCTGTCCTTCTAATTGGGCTCTGTGGGCTTTCGGATGATGCACAGAGCGTGGCCCGTTTCAACATAGTATACCAACGCCCCCCTGCCCCCCGGCTAACCAACTAACAATAGTGCAGAGCAACATCAGCGGGCTATCGGTGATTTTGGCTTGAACGCAATCTCTGGAATCTAGTGAACCCTAATCTAAATGGGTATATATATATATGGTTCATATACCTCAATAGGAATATAGTAGTATAGGGTATAGGGGTACCCCAGTTTTAGGGTTCATATGTGGTCGCCAAGGAAGGGTGAGCCAGCCTGACAGGTCTACATGGACGACGGGCTGGGCGGGGCTGTGACGCTGCGCGACACTGTGGTGGACACGCCCGGGCCCTTGCCACACCTAGTGACGTAGTGCTGAATGTCCCGAAGTACCCTTGATTAATATATACATGTGTGTATATATATATATATACTGCGTATATATAGCAGCTGATGACAGCCTCTGACCGACTGAAAGGTCCTCGCGCTCTTACACTGCAACTGGTCTCACGGCGAACTCGGTGTACGTTGTGCAGGCGACCTTTCATGTTTACATTACTTGCACCCAATCCATCGGAATCCTTTTTACGCCGATGTGTAAGACCTGTGGAGTCCAGGTCAGCGTGGTGACCACCACGGCGGAGTCCGACCTTTCAACAGCCTTGACGGTGCGGTCTTGCCCGTTGCCTGACACGCCTTCGGCGCCTGTTGGAACCCCAGCCTTCGGCTTTCCAGCGGTGATTTGAGAGCACTGAGAGTCTTGACGCTGCCTTGCGCCGCCCTGCGCCGAGTCGCGAAAGTCGTCCACCGCAACCACCATTACGCTGGAGTGGACAGCTCCAGCTGACAACGGCTGCCCAATGACCGGGTGCCGTGGGGCAAGTCTTGCTCATGGACTTGGAGGGCCACAAACTTTCTTCTGCGAATCATTGAAGTCACTGGAGGTACCGGATCTACATTGACAACAACCTGGATGGCACGGCAGATGGTGAGATCTACCCAGGACAGCGCCCTGGTTCATGATCCTGGACTCCTCGATGCTCCTTGTGCCCTGGACTTGTGTGTCAGGAGCTGGCGACGACACAGATCCGCTTGACACGAGCTCGGAGCTCAGGAACCAAGAAAAGTCATAGGACCAAGTGCCACGCGCCGGTGCAGATTGTTTGCCCTCCCTGTGTGACTCAGACCTGGTGGCGAACGTCCTCGAGCACACGCAGACAACAGGCACGTTGGCACCTGTTTACGCCACGGCTTTCACGCGGGTGACGCGGGCCACCGTGGTATCAAACTGCAGGCCTGGCATCCGGATCGCTGTACGGGTTCCTTGTGCGTGCCTACAACAGCGGCGGCTACGTCGAGAGCAACTGGGTCACCATCAAGGCGCCTCCTGAACGAACCAACTCGCGAATGCACACCAGTTAGAAGTCCATCGAAGGTTCGCGCAGGGATCCCCTTGCCATACACGACCTGCCCATGGAAAGTAGTAGTGGATAGTGCTTGCTGATTATTGCTGTTGCACACGGCGTGTAGAGAAACAGCGACGCTGCAAGCTGCCAAGATGCACGCAACATCAGAGTCACCAGCAGCGACAGGGGTTCAGCGATGACCAACTCCAGTATTCCTATAGATACGTTTCTCAGACAAGTGATTCGGGATCAGCAACTTTGAAGCTACTTCTTCGACCACGGAGTGCAGGAGGCATGTCTCCGTAATGGCAAGAACACCAGCGGCATTGGACACGAGCCTGTGTATGTATGGTGAAATGAAGATCTGCAGCCTTGGTATAAAATTGTAAAGCGGCACACACCAGACTAAGAAGCAACATATTGCGGGGGCCAAATGTGTGCCAATGAAGCTTTCTTGCAGAGCCTGTTAAGCTTTGGGCCTCTTTCACGTGTACGGTCAGCCCTCACCAGGCACGGGCTTTGTTTCAATCGAAGAGAGGAGGGTTGGGAATCGTTCCTAAGCTTAATTCACCTGTCAACCATAAGCCTGGCAAAGTTGCGAATCACCGGGCCACCTGCGCAGTCGTGAGCCCTCAGGCTGCAGGCGAGCCAGCCCAGATGTCAGCACCGACTCAGGCACGATCAGGGCAGTTTTCGAGGAGATTTCGGGCTTTACGCTTGGTATCATCGGGTTTTTGCTTTTCGGGCTTCAGGTTTTGGGTCAATCAGGGTGTCTTGGGGTTGAGGCTTCTAGAGCTTTGGGGGTTGGCGTCGCTGTCCTCACTTTTCCTTGCCAGGATGCCAGCGCTGGCAGTTCCACCACCATCGCCCTCGTGTTGGCCTGAGCATAGCCCAGCTGGCGCAGCGTGTCCGGCACATGACATCTTGCCACCTGGGCCACCTGCATGTGTAGAAGGGCTATTAGAAGGAGTTGCAAGTGTGAAAGTGAGGTGTACAGTGTCCCAAGCATGGAGGGTGGCAACGCCGTTGGCTTCAAGGCCCGTTGCCAGCGCAATGAAGCATGTTTCCTACAGTACCGCAGTCTAAGAGTCTGTAAAGACGTTTGACTCGCTAGACTGCTGCTCCCTCTCCTGCGGTGGTAGGAAAAGGCACCCGTTCCAGCTATGGTAACGTTGCGGCAAGTGTGCCCTGCGGAGAGCGTCCTGGATACCTGCAAGAAGTTTGCTTACGTGTCGTTCCCTAGTCTTACGGGTGAGTTTAATATATTGTGCACCCCCAGATCTTCGGAACAAGTCGGGCTTGGCGTCGGGGACTTGTGGATCTGTAGGTGCAGGGTTCGGTTAAGATTACCGCTGACAGTGATGACCCTGGCGGCTACTTGGAGAGGGGGAGGGGGGGCGGTGTAGTGTTTTATATACAAGAAGACCCATAAAATCAATGTGGGTTTGTGTTTTTTTGGGGGACTCAGGTACGTTTAAGAAGGGCACATGGGTTGCACACCCGCGAAACATCCCGAAACATACCCCGTAACATACCCCGCGGAACATACCCCGAAACATACCCGCGAAACATGCCCCGACCCAACACCTGTCGCTCGCCTCCCAATTAAAATACAAACCCATGTAGCACGCGGCGATGTTTTGCACCTTTCTTTGAGCAAGGTGGTTGGAGCATTTGCGATCCCAGTGCGCTTTAAGTAAGCCGAAACCAAGAACCCAAAAAAAGCCTTAAACCGATGTATGCTTTCGGAAGGCCAAAACGGAAGCCCTTCTCTGCCAGGTCTATCGCAACAACGGCGGTGCTACGGCCATGAACGGCTCACCGGCACGGCGCCCGGAACACACTGCCAACTCAAAGGAGTCAAGCTTGTGGTTGTGAACGAGCCAGGTTTCAGACTTACTCTGCAATAGAAAGTACTCGTAACTCGTAGCTGTCAACGACACCTCTTGCAAGCTTGGGCAACTGCGTCTTCCTGACATGCCTCAGGACACCACTTGCAACAGGGACACGGTGCCCGCGCCGCAGACCTGTACGTTGACCGGCCTCAACTCTGGGGACACGTGACCCGGGCTTCGAGTCTCGTTTCTCCAGTCTTCCAGCCCATAGAAGTCAAACCGAGTTCCATGCCTGGTGCAGGTACGCCGTGCAGATGCTGGCCATCAACGACGTTGGGGAAGGATCGCCACTGAAATCCACTGAACGAAGCAGTCTGTGGCCCTTACTGCGAAAATTTGAGAGCTCTTTCCCGCGCTACACTACGCCTGCGCGTCTGAGGAGCCCTCTCCACGGTTGCCACTCTCTTCGCCGCTGCGATCCCGGCGCAGATCACGAACCTTGTGCCGGGTGCCAAGAGCGCAGTGCATCAACGCACGTGCGGTCTAAGCGAAATCTAAAGCATGGAGAGCACGCTGTTCTAGAGCACTCATTTTGCCCCACCCCTGAAAAAGCCCAAGAAGACGAGGAACAGCGCGGGCGCGCTCACGCCCTCCCTCAGCTTCACCTGGACGGCTCCTTCGGACAACGGGCCGGGGCCACAGGGACCACAAAAGCACGTCGAGATGCGAGTCCAGAGTCCGCACTCTCCGCAGGGCCTTCATCTACAACTACCTGGGTGAGATGAAGGACGTCGCGGCTGGCACAACGCAGGTGCGCACAGCAGCACCTGCAGGTGTACTTAATGTGTTTTCCCTCTGTGAGAGGCCTGGGATGCAGGGGGAACCAGCGGCTCGCCGCAGACGGCCACCACATGGACACTCACGGGATTGAACCTGGCCGCGCCCGCACCCCAGCAATTCGGGCTGCAGGTACAGACAGAAACCTCAGGGACATCCCAGAAACCTGTGTGCTGGATAGGAGTTCGTTTAATCGACACGAGCTACTCGTTCAGGACGAAGCAGTTCCAGTTCCGTGTGCGAGCGGTCAACAAGATGGGCAGCGGCGCCTGGCAGGGGCCCCATGGGGGGCCACTCTGCAGTCTGGCAAACTGATAAACTGAGTTAGTATACTGATATGCAGAACAAGCATGCCGTGAGAGAGAGAGAACGAGAGCGCAGCAGATTCAGGAGCTCCGCAAAATTTCTCTCTGTTGTGGTTGGATCGTGCACACCCGAATCCCATCCCCAAAGTCCCCGGAGAGGTCGAGCTGGTCCTCCTTGACGGACCCCCCGCGTGGCTATTGCTTGGATGCGCCCAACACACCTGCGAACTTCGGAAGGCAAGAGAAGGATCTGCTTGCTTATGTGGCTAACTGCTCGATGTAGGGCTTTTTTGGACTGAGTTTGCTCAGCCAGCTGTGTAGGCACCCGGACACGGCGGTCAGCGGCCAGATCTCGATCAGCCTCTCTTCTCAACATTTGCTGTCAACTGTTTTCATATGGAAGAAATCAACATTAGGGGGAAGATGACACCATGTGTTCACGACTCACAGTCGCGGTTTCCTTCAGGCTGGGATGCCCTGACGACCGTCGCAGAAGCGGGAGGCGACAACGTGGACAACATCGTCTACGAGGCTTTCTCTCGGACAGCCTTCATCTGTGTTCGGCCATGCACTGCAGTTGTGCTCGGTACATGCACTAGTCACTAGCCGGCATGCCACAACGAAGCCGCAAGGTCTATGCCGGAGCATCCACGGGAAGCATGACGAAGCAGACTATGTCGAACGACTACGACACGAACTTCACACTGGTTGCTGCCTGAGCTGGAGCAGCCCTTCCTGCGTAATCTGGCTGCAGCGTGCGACCACCTTGCCTCAGGCCGTGTCGGCGGGCACCACTTACTACTTCCAAGTGCGGGCCGTGAACCTTGCCTGTTCTGCCCCACCACACCCCCCACCCTGATCCCAACGCTTTCTGTGCACCCTCCTGAAAGGCCACCTCAACTTGCAGATTTGCGTGGCAGCAATGGTATCAGTTTCACTGCAGCGGGTGGTGTATGAAATCATGAAGCGTGCTCCCCCCTTACAAAAAGAAAGACAGAGCAGAAGTGCTTACCGAAACCGTGCTTTCTCGATGCACCTTGTAACTCCGCCAGGTGAACATCGCCGGCGTCGGCTCCGCGTGGGCCGGGCCCATCGAGCTCGTCAGTGCCGAGGTCGATGGACCCAACGAGCCAGCTCTCGAAAGAAGGGCCTAAGAAGGGGTCTTAAGTGAATACATAGACTGTCCGACAAGGGTTCTAAGCATGGCTCTTGACTCTTTTTAGGTGAAAAGAAAACACCTTTGGACAATTTGTTGTTGCTTTTCGTTGAGAGAGCAGAGAGAGGTCTGGAGAAGCACAGGCACAGCCCCTTTGTCTGCGCAGGTCCCCGGCCAGCCGGACATCGTGTCCTGCACCACCACAGTCTCAGAACAGGCAGGATCTCCGGTCGTTTGTCGTTCGTCGTTTCTGATTATGTGATTTTTCCGAGGTCGACATCACCTGGACCCCAAACGCATTCAACGGCAACTCCATGGTCACTCACTACATCGTCAGCAACTGGGCCTTATAAGGTCCAATTGCATGTCCTGTGCCCCTTGCAGAGCTTTTTCAATTCGTGGCCCTTTCTGTTTACGGTAGAATCGCGATCTCACGTTCATTCCACTGGATGCTCCCGAGGCGAAGACAACTTCACCAACTCCACCGGGGCAATGGAACAGGCCAGCAGAGCCCAGGTAACTTCACATGGGTATTTCCCAACGTAGGGGTACAGTACCCCTTTTATACCCCAAATAGAATAGACTCCCTTCAAAGGGACCCCTGAAAAGGGTACCCCTATTTTCGTAAACCCCCATATGGCCCCAGAGCTCCGAGCTGGTGTGGCACCTGCAGCATCTGCGCATACAGGTCAGCAACACCATCACCACCTTCAGCTTCACAGGTCAAGATCCAGGCCTTTGGGGTTCATTTAGTGGGGCTTAGGGAGTCTAGGCAGGCTAGGCAGGAAAACTAGGGTTCAGCGAGCTGTGACAGTTCTGGTCGGAGCAGGCGTGGCGAACCACTACGGTGTCAGGTCCGTCAACTCTGTCGGCGAGAGCCCGGCACTTAAAAGAGCTAAAAGTAGGGTGTTTTTTTTTCAGCTGCACTGGAGCTCCTGTTCTGATGGCGGATGACACAGGGACGTTTGCGCTGCCTGCCCACTCCCAGGTTTCGAAGCAATCTGCACGATTGCGCCAATTCCATAGAAAGCTGATGTACAGGGGATGTCAAGACAGAGAATGCCCGCCTCCACGGTTGTCACCCCGGAAGACCATGAACGGGCGCTGTACCCCACAAAGCAAGAGGCGAACAAGGTGGAAGCGGGCAGATCACTTCGTTGACATACGCGACCTCTGGGGACCCTGAAAGGGTTCGGCTGGCATCTCGCGTATCGAGGCTCAGTGGTCTACAAATGGCCACTGCAGGGCCCGTCAACATCCGTTAACACACCCAAGCCGGCTTGTTGAGTCATTTTATAGGGTTTGGGCCGGTTCGGGGTTGTTAGGGGAGCATTCACTCAAAGGGGTCGTTCTGGTACCTGTAGCCTATGAATCACCTAATTAAAAAAATTGACTCTTGAAGCCAGGCCTACTCGCACAACATCTGTTCGCAATGTTCGCAGTGCTGAGACAAAGAACAAGCTGCAAAACAACACCAAAACCTATCCACGAAATTCCAGTAGTTCATTAATTAACAAAGGAGAAGTTCGAGAACAAAACGCTTTCCATCAACAAAGTTCAAACAAATCCTCAATGTAAAGTCTAAAAATGCAAAAAAGTCAACAAAAATCGACACATGAAATCAACAAAAACATCAAAACTCAAAATGCAAGAATGCTCAGAAAGGAGTCTTTAATTTTAAATGCTACGCGACCCGCCTCGGCCTGAGCCTCGGTAACGAGGCAACTCGTGCCCTATGCCGGGGCTGCCCCCCTGGTCCTGATGCACCGTCCGCTCCCGGACACCTGTCGGCTGAGGGGGAGAAGAAGTTCCTCTGGAAGGTCCACAATCTTGTGGGCGCCGGTGGGTTTTGTGTTGTGGAGGGGGCAAGTTGCAGGGCAGGAGCTGCTAACAGCCCAAATCCATCTTCGACGACAGGCTGTTGCGGCGGCACGCGCGCAGCCGTGTCCAAACCCACAATCTGCAGAGAATGGGTTGTAGTCTCAGACTTTGGCAGGTGAAGCAGAGTCGCATCACCAACCCTGTGGTAACTGCCAACAGCCCCTTCCTCTCCGTCCTCTTGACCAAGAGGAGGGTGCCCTCATCTCTGGCCTTCAGATTCTTCTAACACTATGAATGAAAACCATTCTCAGCGAGAGCTTGTAGCATTTCTTGCCACGATGGCAAAGCTGGATCACTCCGAAACAACAGTAATGAATGATAAGACAGCATGCAACAAGAATAGCGGCGGAGCGCGCGCAGCCGCGCCCCCGCCGCATCCCGCAGCGGCTGGGGCCTTCCCAAGCATATCCTGGATTCTTTCGCTGCGAAGGCATCGCTGTTGTACAGATTTTGGCAGGTGGAACAGGGTCACATCACCGACCCTCTGGTGGTGGCCAACGTGCATTGCCTCCCCGCACCCCTGCGCGACCTCGACCGTGAGGAGGGGAGGAAGCAGGGCGCCCACATCCTGGGCCTGCTGCAGTGAGGGCAGATGCTTTTGGCGAGAATTGTAGTGTTTCTTGCTACGATGGCAAAGCTGGTTCGCTCCAAAACAGCAGTGATGATAAGACAGCAGCAAGAATAGCCGCGGAGCACGCGCAGCCGCGCCCCGCCGGATCCTGCAGCGGCTGGGGCTTCCCCAGCATATCCTGGATTGTTTCGCTGCGAAGGCCACGCAAGTTCCTCTCCAGCGATGCTGTTGTAATCCTAGATTTTGGCAGGTGGAACAGGGTCATATCACCGACCCTCTAGTGGTGGCCAACGTGTGACTCGCCGCGCAGGGAGGGGAGGAAGCAGGGCGCCCACATCCTGGGCCTTTGGCAGCAAGGGCAGATGCTTTTGGCGAGAATTGTAGAGTTTCTTGCTACGATGGCAAAGCTGGTTCGCTCCAAAACAGCAGTGATGATAAGACAGCAACAAGACTAGCCGCGGAGCGCGCGCAGCCGCACCCCCGCCGCATCCTGCAGCGGCTGGGGCTTCCCCAGCATATCCTGGATTGTTTCGCTGCGAAGGCCACGCAAGTTCCTCTCCAGCGATGCTGTTGTAATCCTAGATTTTGGCAGGTGGAACAGGGTCATATCACCGACCCTCTGGTGGTGGCCAACGTGCGTTGCCTCCCCGCGCCCCTGCGCGACCTCGACCGAGCGGAGGGGAGGAAGCAGGGCGCCCACATCCTGGGCCTTAATTTGGCAGCGAGGGCAGATGCTTTTGAGAATTGTAGTGTTTCTTGCTACGATGGCAAAGCTGGTTCGCTCCAAAACAGCAGCGATGATAAGACAGCAACCTAAGAATAGCCGCGGAGCGCGCGCAGCCGCGCCCCGCCGCATCCTGCAGCGGCTGGGGCTTCCCCAGCATGTCCTGGATTCTTTCGCTGCGAAGGCCACGCAGGTTCCTCTCCAGCGATGCTGTTGTAATCCTAGATTTTGGCAGGTGGAACAGGGTCATATCACCGACCCTCTGGTGGTGGCCAACGTGCGTTGCCTCCCCGCACCCCTGCGCGACCTCGACCGAGAGGAGGGGAGGAAGCAGGGCGCCCACATCCTGGGCCTTTGGCAGCGAGGGCAGATGCTTTTGGCGAGAATTGTAGATTTTCTTGCTACGATGGCAAAGCTGCAACAAGACTAGCCGCGGAGCGCGCGCAGCCGCGCCCCCGCCGCATCCTGCAGCGGCTGGGGCTTCCCCAGCATGTCCTGGATTGTTTCGCTGCGAAGGCCACGCAAGTTCCTCTCCAGCGATGCTGTTGTAATCCTAGATTTTGGCAGGTGGAACAGGGTCATATCACCGCCCCTGTGGTGGTGGCCAACGTGCGTTGCCTCCCCGCACCCCTGCGCGACCTCGACCGAGAGGAGGGGAGGAAGCAGGGCGCCCACATCCTGGGCCTTTGGCAGCGAGGGCAGATGCTTTTGGCGAGAATTGTAGTGTTTCTTGCTACGATGGCAAAGCTGGTTCGCTCCAAAACAGCAGCGATGATAAGACAGCAACCTAAGAGTAGCCGCGGAGCGCGCGCAGCCAGGCCCCGCCGCATCCTGCAGCGGCTGGGGCTTCCCCAGCATATCCTGGATTCTTTCGCTGCGAAGGCCACGCAGGTTCCTCTCCAGCGATGCTGTTGTAATCCTATATCTTGGCAGGTGGAACAGGGTCATATCACCGACCCTCTGGTGGTGGCCAACGTGCGTTGCCTCCCCGCGCCCCTGCGCGACCTCGACCGAGAGGAGGGAGGAAGCAGGGCGCCCACATCCTGGGCCTTTGGCAGCGAGGGCAGATGCTTTTGGCGAGAATTGTATAGTGTTTCTTGCTACGATGGCAAAGCTGGTTCGCTCCAAAACAGCAGTGATGATCAGACAGCAACAAGAATAGCCGCGGAGCGCGCGCAGCCGCGCAGCCGCGCCCCGCCGCATCCTGCAGCGGCTGGGGATTCCCCATGGATTCTTTCGCTGCGAAGGCTACGCAGGTTCCTCTCCAGCGATGCTGTTGTAATCCTAGATCTTGGCAGGTGGAACAGGGTCATATCACCGACCCTCTGGTGGTGGCCAACGTGCGTTGCCTCCCCGCACCCCTGCGCGACCTCGACCGCGAGGAGGGGAGGAAGCAGGGCGCCCACATCCTGGGCCTTTGGCAGCGAGGGCAGATGCTTTTGGCGAGAATTGTAGTGTTTCTTGCTACGATGGCAAAGCTGGTTCGCTCCAAAACAGCAGTGATGATAAGACAGCAACAAGAATAGCCGCGGAGCGCGCGCAGCCGCGCCCCGCCGCATCCTGCAGCGGCTGGGGCTTCCCCAGCATATCCTGGGTTGTTTCGCTGCGAAGGCCACGCAAGTTCCTCTCCAGCGATGCTGTTGTAATCCTAGATTTTGGCAGGTGGAACAGGGTCATATCACCGACCCTCTGGTGGTGGCCAACGTGCGTTGCCTCCCCGCGCCGGTCTGCGATCTTGAGTGATAGCAGGGCGTCTTTAACCTGGGCCTGTTGGAGTGAGGGCAGATGCTTCCGGCGAGAATTGTAGCGATTCTTGTCATGATGGCAAACTTGGGCAACTCCATGCATTAGAAACAGCGGCGATGATAAGACAAAAGCAAACATAACAGTGCAAAGTGATGACACGGCTGCCAGTAATTGCGTCTTGTTTTGCTCGTGAGCTTGGGGTTGGTGTTGAAGCATGGAGCCGGCGTCGGTGCGCCGCAGCACGTGAAGAGTTGGCAACAGGATCCCAGCAGCGAGATGGCGCAGACGGCGTTGCAGGGCCGCGCTGTTCAGAAGCAGGGTGGCCAAAGGGCAGCAAGCTAGCGCTAGATTTTGTATGGTCCTGCTGGGTCGCGCATGGCGTGGCAACGCAAAGCTTGCAGCCGGCGTGAACATGGTAAATTTTGCCTTTTCAAAATTTTCGCCGCAATTGATTGTGGAGCTCGAAGACGCAGGCCTTCCTGAATGCTCAGTAGAGTCAAAAGCTAAAAACATTTCTCTTGCCACCACTGTGTAGTGAGCCGCAGGTTGAGGAGAGGCAGGCGTCTTCCGCGACTTATTGATGGGAATTTCGATCAGATTTTGTGTAATTAGTGACAACCCTATAAAGCTAAAGCCGGATAGATGACTTGAGAAGGCAAAAACTCGTTCAAATATGTCCCCGATTTCAAACTCCTGGTTTCTGCATTTTTTGAATTTCCACATAAGAAACAAAAACGACGCGTTATAAGTTTGCATTTTTTTGAACTTGCATGTTTTACACATGTCAGCCCAAAACCCCAAACGCCTAAGCCTAATCCTGATAAATCCCCTAAACCTGCAGCGCGACTCGTTTGCTTGGCGGGCAAAAATTTAAAACCCTACACCCTATACGGCCTATATATAAGCCACAATCCCCAAAGTAGCTCCCGCATCCCCAACCCCCTAAACACCGATCTTAACATCTCGAGTGCTGCCCAAGGGAGATGCATATTGCAAGTTTTGTGTCGGCCAAGTGCGCCTTGAATTTCGATCTGGGTCACCTTCCGCAGCCAAGGCTTTGCAAACTCGGCCTGGCAAGCATCTTCCAAAGCATCTGCCGATGCCAACGCGCAGCACAAGATATACAAGTAGCAGCTCTTCCCCGATCCAATGACCCATCGCTCCAGATGCCGAGCAGTTGGAGCCGTGATGCCCGGGCAGGTCAGGCTACTACTGGCAATTCCTTTTTTTTCCCTTTTGCAAGTTGCGAGCGCTTCTCATTGAAAGCTGGTGACTGCAGGTGGCGCAGCCTCTTCCTGGGCCGATGCCAGCTCCCCGTGTTCCCATGTCGTGTTCCAACGTGACTCAAGCATCCAGTGCGAGATGAGTTGTGTAGACTTAAGACATCTTAAGACCATAGCTCTTTGTCATCAATGCAACATGAGACTCTGGATACGGCAACGTCCGGCTTTCCGTGGATTCCAAAGGCAACCTATGCTCAGGTGCTTCAGCGGCAGGAGATCGTGAATGCAGCACAGGCTGCCCAGGCAAGGGACGAGCCTCAAGTCACGCTGGCAGAAGATGGTGGTGCTGTAAACACAGAGGACTATGTGTGTCTGGTAGTTAAGAAGTTGTGGCATCTCCGCGGATTCCGAGAAAACCCTGAAGACGTCTGACGTTTTTTTCTTGGTGGCAGTCGCGTTACGAAATCCAAAATTGCCGCAACAAATCAGAACAATCAACTTCTCCCCCAGATTTCACTAGTCGCTAGATTTCACCACCAACAAAACAAAGTGCACATGCCTTCCACGGCGCCGCCAAACGGTCTCTACCTGTCCAGATGTCGCTTTCGGAACCAAGCTACTTTGTATTCTTGGTGAGGCCATACAAAGATAAAGAGAAAAGATTACCTCAACCGTAAACCCTATAAACCCCCCAAAACCCTGTGTCTAGGCGGCCCCGGCGGCTCCAAACCAGGGCGGCTTCCACTTGTGTTGGCCCCGCGGCGGTGAGGATGAGGCCGCGTTGTGCATTTTCTGGGGGCTCAAGCTTACGGTCCACATTCCTACTGAGGCTTTTGGTTCAGGAAGGAAAACATGCTGTGTGGCTCAGCTATCTTGGGGAGGGGCTCAGGGTTTGCTTGTGCCCAGGATTCCATGCTGGCCTTTGCTGGGAAGGCAGAAAGGGATGGAGAGTGGTGTATGCGCGTAGCTCGATGACCGGAGCTTGGAAGCTTTCTTTTTCACAGCGCAGTCTCCTTAAGCGACCTTTTGTCATGTGTCATGTGGGCTCCTTTTGGCTCTCAAGACCGACCTCGTCCCCCCCGACTGCAAAGAAGCGCTGAGGCTGGGGCCACTTCTGGAAATTGAGCTCCTTCCGGGAATCTAGGAGACGCGAAGAAATTGGATGTGCTGAGGGGCCGCAAAGGCAAGCGGATGCACCGAGCTTGAGTTCCATGCGGGATGAGTTTCCCTGGCGCCACCTGGATTTTGGCGTTTTCTTGGCTGCTGGCCGGGTCCGCCGGAGACATCCTGGAGCAGTGGATCCATCCGCTGGCCCGCGAGCCCTTCTTTGGTGAGGCTCGATATGGAAGAAATCAAACCGAAGAACGGAGTGCCGATGCCCTCCCGGGTTGATGTTTTGTTTTGGTGTCCCTTTTGATCTTTGACACCTCTTTGACCACAGCCTAGAAGAGGTCTTCGAGAAGAATTGGGCGCACTTCCCACACCCCGATGCCTTGGTCTCCATCACACTGGACCATGTGGCGGAGTGGATCCGAGAGCGGGGAAGCTCCGGGGAGATCATCGAGATGCTGGAGCATCCCGTGACCCGGAAGCCCTTCCGGCCCTCCCCCACCGCCAAAGACAGCTTGCAGAAGGTCTCCGAGGCCTTCCTGAGCCTTGGCCTTGGCTCTTTCTTCTTTTTTTTGGTTTTTTGAGAATCTGAACCCCCGATCTCCCTCCCAACATCTCCCCCCGGTTTGGCTACCAGTTCCGGCCTTCACCACTTCCGTGAGGTGCTGCTCTGTTGTAGGGGGCGTTCGGGGGTTCAGGATGGTTCAGGTTCAGGAAATTGCATGGTCCAGGGGGCAGCTGTGAGAGGCTGCGAGAGAGAAGGGGCTTTGGACTTAGGTTTTATGGCTCCTTATAGCCTTTAGAACAAATTGTAAACAACAACAGGAAAGATTGCAAAGCACGTTGCAAGACTCTCGCCCGAGCCTTGTGTGTGTTCTTTGAGGCAGGGCTTCTCCATGGTCATCAACTCCCTGCACGAGTGGTCCGAGCCTGGCGCCCGCCTGGCGAAGCAGCTCTATGCAGCCGCCTACCTCCCCGTCGACGTCTACATGTACCTCACCCCTCCTCACTCCCACAGCTACGGCCTGCACTCGGATGCCCCCCAAGCTCAAAGAGCAGACCAGTTTGAGGGCAGTCTCGACCTAAATTACTTAAAGTCACCGAAGCCTTGGTTTTGTAAGTACAAGGGCCCCCTAGAGGGAAGGGCCCCCCCAATAGCACAGTCCCATGGCTTGAGAGCTGTTAGGTCATGGACGCCTTCATGGTGCAGCTTTCAGGCTCATCTTCTTCGACTCGAGCTCTTCTCTGGTTGCCCCTTCTAATTTCTACGTGGGAGCTATAGAATATCAAAGAATAGATACAGAGCTCCCCGCCTTTTGAAAACGGGCCCTTTTTCGGGGGCTTCAGGGTTCAGTCATATATGGTTAAGATGGTTCATGAGGCATGGTCGCATGTTATAGGTGGTAGGCGTGAATATGGTGTTGGTGGAGGCCGCAAAGTCTGGACCGTCTGCGACGTGCCCAGCTGGATGGCTCCCAAGCAACCGCCGCAGGAGATCTTGAAGAACTTCAACGTCTCGTGCTCGAATGTGACCATGCAGGGCGGTGACGTGATGTACCTTCCCTTCGGCACCTTGCACCAAGCCACCACATTCTCGGACTTCTCCATGCACTTGACCGTGAACTTGGAGAGGCAGTTCTACGTCTGGCAGGCCCTGTTCCTGGCAATGATCCACAAGATGCTGCAGCCGGGACTAAGCATCAGAAAGCTTAAGTCAAGCGACGACTTCCAACCCGACGAGTATGGGCTCCCGCTGGTCGCACTTCTGGCGCAGCTCGCGGCCTCCGTCCCCGAGCTGTGCCGCCTTCCTGGCTACAGCTTCTACAGTTTCGAGGCGGGCGCCTCCTCACCGGCCTTCCAGCCGCCGCAGCTGCTCACGTCCCTGTCCAATGAGGACTTGCCGGAGCAGTACTTGGGCCGCTTGACCCAGGAATTTCAGGATCTGGCCGCCCGCCTCGAGGCCCAAGCGGCCGCCGCCAAAGTCGGCCCCGTGCGTGTCGGAAGCCGAGTGGTGTCCATCGTGGAGACTTTGGGAGAACTTCGGAAGAGCGACACGGCGTTTCCCTGGGCTTTGCAGTTTGCTCGCTTCCATTCAATGGAGCACTCCTCCTTGCTTGCCAAGCCTCATCAGCTTCAGTCTCTGTCAACGGCCCGTTCGAAGAATCCCGAGTCCTTCACAGACCTCGCGCTCTCGCGCTTCGCCTCGACGCTCCCCAGCAGCGCCGTGCTCCGGCGGGCGCCGGATGTCCGGGCCGTGCTCCTCTCTGAAGCGGAAGGGGCAAAAGCAGTGGAGACCGGAACGCATCAGATCCAGCACAAGCTGGTGGTGAACCGCCAGACCTTACGCTTACAAACAGAGGAGGTCCCCGCTGCCCTCTTCTGCCTCGGGCTCTTTGCAAGCAAGACCTCACAGGGCCAACCCTTCAACTTGCGGGATGTGCCTTTGGGCTCTGCAAAGCTGCTCCCGAAGCTCCTGAGCTTCGGGGCGCTGCAGCTGATCAGCTGAGCTGGAGAAAAACGCATTAAAACTTGTAAACGCTTGCGCGCGCCGCCTCGGCAGCCGGGCCGACTCAATGCGGGCGAGCTTCGGGACGTTTAGACAAGGGAGTGCCGGAGACAGGGGTTAAAAACATGCAGGAGACAGCTTGCAAACCCAAACGGGTTCGGGCAGGTCCTGGAAGGTGTTCTAGATGCCTTTCGGCTGGAAGTCGAGGCGAACTACCGACTCGGAAGTTAAGCTAGCCTTCAGGTGAAGGTAGACTCAGGGCTTCATCAAGAGCTTTGGGGGCGGCGTTGCAGGTCCACCGGCAGCTCGCAGACGGTTGGTGCATCATCGAAATGCTTCGGGACGAGGACTTGTTCGGGAGGCGTTATGGACAGTGCGGCTGGAAAGCGCTGCTGCATGCGCTAGCACAAACATGGTCTGCCATGGGCATCGGCGTCCTATACCGCGCGAGAATGTGCTGCATGCGAGTGCCTCGCAAGGATTCGGCCAAGAGGCTGCAGCGACGACTGGCACGCGAGTCGTGGGTCTCCCAATGGGGCTCCATCATCTGATGGGGATTTGTCTGTTGAGATTTCAAGCTGCTTGTCGGTGCTTGTTTGTTTCTCCCCGAGCTCTTCAGTCTCCCTCCCTTTCTGCACTACAAGTTTGACCAGCTGAACCCCTCAACGCTGACCGTCCCTTCAAGCACCCCATGTAAAGCCAAACAGCACGCACTCTAGATGCGTCACACCCCAAAGCCTATCAACCCTACTCAAGCCCCAAACCCCCACAGTTCAAGAGGTTCATTCAGCCGCCTTCAGAGTTCCTCCAGAGCTATCTGGGCCATGTGGGTGGCAAGGCGCCTATGTGCCCCTGCCTTCTGCAACAGGGGCTTCTCCGCAAGATGTTGCTTGCGTGTGCTTGCGCATGCTGCTGGGCTGTGCTCACGAGGATGGCTCCTTCTTGTGCCAGCCCTCTGCGATCTAAGCTGCTAGAGTACGCATTTTTTGATGTCGTGCGCATGTTCACATCGCAGCCTTGGCTCTCTTAAGCTTGCAAAACAAGAGGCAGATGAGCTACCCCCAAAACCTTTGACCCCAAAAAAGAGGAGTCCTGTAGTCCTGTTGTTTTGCGTTTGGCTTTCTTGGCGAAAAAGCACATAAAGGAATGGCACTTTGTTTGTGGAAGTTCTTACCAGTTTTCTGTCACTTGTTCGTAGTCTCGGGCGAGACTCTTGTTGATGGGGCTCGGAAGCTTGGCAAGCCACATCAGCAATGCCACCTCCTGGCCCCTTGCAACTTGCCCTAAGACGTGAGACTCCGCAATGTCGTGAGATTGAATACAGTGCTTGGGCGCAACTCCTCTTCTCCCGCTCAGGCTGACGGTCTCTCTTTGTAGATCTCGCTCTCTCTTTCTCTCTCTCCCTCTCTCTCGCTCTCTCTGTCTCTGGCTCTCTCTGTCTCTCTGTGGAGTTCCGACATCGCGTCTTCCTTGAGCTTCTGAGGCATACCTTGCCTGTTGCAGCTCATGGTCAGGCCAGTTGAAGTGTTCAGTCTGAGCCGTTGCCGCATCAACTACACGAGCATCAACCACACGAGGCTAAATGCAGCACGAAGCTTGCGCATGGGTTCCGCTGCCCCGAATTCAGCGATCCAAGAGCGCAGCAAAGACACTGTCGCAGGCGGCACGTGCTGGAAGTCCTGCGACGGATGCTGCTGCGATCTGGACTTCGCTCACTTGCGCCGCGTGCTCATGAGCCACGTGCACGCGCTGGACCGGGCGCACCAAGTTCAATGTAGAGGTTCAAGAGGGGTTTAAGGTTTGAGTTTAAGGTAGAACAGGAACAGCAACGGACCACACAGAAACGCTGCGAAAGAAAGAGGGCGACGAGAGTGGAGGAGCCGACAACCGTACTGCTCACCCGGCCGTCAAAAATCAGGATCCCGTGTTGGAAGGGCCTTAGTTGTTCTCCATGGCCCATATCTATGCAAAGTGCCCCCCGACCCCGAAACGACACGAGGGGAACTCCGACACTTCGAACAACCCCCCAGCCACCCTCCTCAGGGAACCCAACCTGCGGTTAACGCTCAGTCCAGGACAAGCTCCCTGCCCGTCAGAAGGTCCAACGCGGGGAATGGCTCCTCCCTGAGGCGAGGAAGAGAGTCTTGACTGCGGATTGGTGCTTCGGGCCGTAGCTCAACATGGGCGTGCGCGGTGGAGCTGTTTCATGCAGCCTAACAGGGCCTGAATCTAGCGAGCAAGGGCCTCTCGCGTGGGATGGGAAACGAGTCCCAGATCTTGCCACCACTTCCATGGAAACACACAGGTCCAGTTTTGCCCGGCAGGTCTACCTTGCCGGCTTCCATGCCGTGCACCATTGCGCTCAAAATGCGGAAAGCTGGCTGAACTCCAAGGACTGTAGCCGCGAGCGGTGCTCAGTTGAAGCTCTCTTTTACCAGATCATCTTGCAGTGACATTCCGCTGTTCGCGTTTCAAGACGCATCATAGCCTAAAGACAAGAGCAAGTGCAGTTTTATACATTGCCAAGCATCGGGTTTAAACACGCGCAGACAAGGAGAGCCATTGATTGACACTGCCGCAACACGGTTCTACCCACTTATGTGCTACGTGATTATATATGCATCGATGGACCAAACAAATACTCCGGGTAAAGCTTGAAATGGGCCGTGCCAATGCAGAGCCCTTGGAGCTTTAGCCTTGCGCAACATGCCGGGGCCTAAGCAACCTGGACTGTTGAGGATCTCGAGTGATTAGTTGTGGCTCTGAGGCCCTCAATAGCCCTGTACAGGGTGTGTGAGTGCATTGTAGAGTCGAGGTCAGCATGCATCTGCTTCGGCACAGGCACGGCTGCCCCAAAGCCTGTTTTGCCGATCCCATCGATTTGGCCATGTTTTCCTTCGCTTGCGAGGAGACGGAGCCTGGGCTCACAGGCTCCCATCCTCCTTCCAGGAGCCCCCGTCTTGGTGCTGGTGATCATTTATTTATTTTATTTATTTTTTTTTTTGGGGGGGGGGGGGGTGAAGCCTGTATAGACTAATATAGAATCTACCAGGGGCACCCACGTCTAAGCCGCCCCCTGCAAGCTCTGAAAACACCCCTAAAACCCTCAACTTTTCGACAGGAGACCTCGGGAAACCGGCTTGATGCACAAGACGCCGACTGGGCAGCTTTCGGTATGCCGAATTATTCCAAGTTGCTTGGGAAGGTCACTTGCCAGACAGCTTTCAAAACATTGGGGGGTTTACAGTACAGGGCTTACAGGGTTTCTAGGGCCTATAGGGCTTACAGGGTTTACAGGGTTTAGACTTTTCGTCTTTCCCCCTGGCACCCGCTCGGCGTGGCGGTGTTCGACTTTAACTTACAGCAAGATGGGGTCCTGAAATGAGTGCCCACCCCTGCAGAATGTCACAAAAAAATCCCAAATGATCGCCGTCCGTCTAGCTTTAGGATTTTGGAGGTGTTCGAAGTAAGTTCTTTTGTTGGATCAAGAGACTCAGGGTTTGGAGTTGATGCAGTATCTTCCCTTACTGGCTTGGTTCCTCCTGTATCGTCGAACGTGTTCGTATAGCTTGCCGCCATCTATGTATCACACCCAGGATCTTCTGCTGGGCCAGCATCATGTCCAGAACCATGGAGGCCCCGGCTTTTCTTGTTATGAAACTCAACTTGAGTTTGGTCCTGTCAGTGCAGCTGCGAGTTTTGAGGCTTTGAAGTTTTGCAGCTTACATTCGGCAGGCGCGGTGCATTGCAGTCGCGACTTCCACGAGTTTTGCGCCTCAGCGGCATCGGAAGAGAGACTTGATGGGCCAGTTGATCTGACTGGACTTATAAGGCAAGGAAGGCTACGACTATGTCTGCGACACGACGGAGCCAACAATGCATTGGAGCAAGGCTCGGTTGGCAAGTGGCAAGTCCATACGTTTCCAGGTAGTTGGTACCAGCATTTCTCCATTCACGCACCTGCTTGTGGCTGGAAACGCGTGGCACGTCATCTGATGCTCGTTTGCCAGGATTGCGGAGTGATGTACTACCTGTCGCCGGCTGCAGGCACAGGCTGGCATACCTACAAGTACCTTGGACAACTTCGACCTGGAAACCTCATGAAACCTCTGAGAGGTTCCTTGAGATTTTGCACGCCAAGGTACTTGTTGGGACAACCCCCGCACGGATGATGCTTGGAAGAAGCGGAGCAAGATCTTTCGTTCATTTTCATGTTCGTTCCATACACGGCCATGTCCTGTTCTTGGTTGATGCTCTGTAGAGAGGAGTCGTTCAAAAGCCCTCTATCCAACCAAGGCAAGCCCGGGGAGCACTGCGACGCTTGCGCAGATCCCCCGGGAAAGGCGCCCCGGGAGTCTCCGCAGCAGAAAAGAGATCAAACGAGATCAACTCAAGTCAGCAGGTGGTCTGCACCGTGAAGCTCCATGGAGGAGATTGCACGGAAGCGCCGAAGGTCCGCCCCTTAACAGCGCCAAGTGTCGCCAAGTATCGCTGAGCGTCTGAATTCACAGCAGCCTGAACCTGGCTCTCTAGGAAGCACCGTCCGCCTTGCACGGTGCAGCCTCGGGCGCTGCCGAGATGGCAAAGCTGCGCCTCGGCCACATTATCGGCTGAATTGAACACGAATGACCGACGTCATTTGTGCAGCTGCTAAACGGGGCCACATTATGTACCCGCTAGCAGCAGCAGCGGGCTGTGAAGATGATTGGCATTATCAAGAGAGACGAAAGCTGCCGTGAACACGCAAGACCGCTGCCACTTGAGGAGCAAGATCTCCTTCCTCTGAGAGGCTCCCGGAAACAGCTGCTGTCTGCAACTGTACCGCGTGGTCGAGCAGTACCGTCCGAGCGGACGTGAAAGCGGTGTCTGCCAAAGGGTTCCTTCTGGTAGATGCAAGGACGTGAGGACTTGGACAGCAGGACTAGGGACCACCGCACCTCAGGGCATCGCTTGCGGCAAGAAAATGGAAAGAAGGGGAGCGAAGATGCGGATTTAAGAATCTGCATGCCAGGAAAAAGAGTGTCTAAGCCTTGTAGCTGGAAAGTTGCTACTTGCAGGATCCCCTTGGCCTTCTGACCCTGCGCCTGGCTTACCATGTCGCCCGGCTCTTTCAGAGTTGTTGAGGCAGGAGTTAAGGTGAGTCCATCGCAAACTGGTTCGTGAGCTGAATCTGAAAGCCACCGAGGACTCCGAGGCGATCTGGAAGGAGGTGAAGCAGGAGCCCCTGGAGTCAAAGTGGGACACGGATGAGCGATTTGGGGGATAGAATGGATGCATGTCGCTCGCAGTCTCAGGAAGAACTGGACTGGCGAGACATCCAGGCGGCCCAGGAGACCATCTCTTCTCGCGTGTGCTCGGGCTGGCAGTGTGAGTGCGCCCGGTGCGTTCTTCGCACTTACAGGAATCGATTGAGGTTTTTTAGACCGGACCGGGTGACCGGGTGCGGATGTGGAGGTTGTGTGTGAAGTTGTGTTACATTGTGGAAGCTGCAGGAGACCTGGGGCATGATGCAGCTGGTATTGACACCCGGCAGCAGTATTGGAGTAGCGCAGGACGCCGATGCGAGGAAAGGCTGTTAGCGTACTTTGGTAGTGTAAGTTCTTATCAACGCCACGCCCTGCACTCTAGACTCTAAACAAAACCATGTAATGTACTGCTTGCAGGGCATCGACAACTTTGGGAGACCTGTCCCGAAGCGGTTGGCCGTTGCTCCTCCTTGCCAAGGCCATGGTGCCCTTGCGGAGCTTAAATCGGAACTTCCAATTTTTGGCGCCTGCCGGTGCTCAACAAAGCACGCAACTTGAGGCCTTCGGCCACTTCTTCGCGGTTCCCGCGGAG